ATAGTGTTATCTGGTGAAGGAAAGTCAAGATCAAGAATTTTCGCCGGAGAACCGAGGCTTCCAGAAATCGAGATTTTACTATAGGTGCAAAAATACCAAATTGTATTTAGATAATAGATTTTCATGCACAGTCTCTGACACTGTTATCAATATTTTGAAAAAGAAAAACTTTAAAGTGCTATTTATACCTCCGCAAGCTGACAGGAGGGTTATATCAAGCTATTTGTTATTTTTTGGAAAGCTAAAATGTGTCTTCTCATCAATTGAATTCTTAAAATAATGTTCCAGTTTTGTTATTCAAGACATACATCGACGTATTGAAACTGTTTCCTGTCTTCTGTTGCTAAGGACGGCAAGGATGGACATGGATTGAAACTTGAAAAAGTTGGGCCTACTTTTGCCATGCCTGCAAAAACCACCAAAATTATGATGATGAATGTGAACCTAGATGGAATTTGTTTGATATATTCTTCATAACTCTACAGAAGCATTTAGGAGTAAAGGCACTAAGTGATTACTTTTGCACAGAATTGACCTAAAACAGCAATATCCTCGTGACATAGCTAACCCCTTTAAACATTTACATTCGCAGGCACGTGCGTTTAAAAAATGTACGTGTTATGAGTGCCCTAAACCAGCCTTGTTTCCAGGACAAATTTCACACGGAAATGAAGTTCTGATTGAAAGATACCCTTGACTTGAACACTATTAAGTATCAATACAAAAGGAAGAAGAGCTACCAATTAAATAAAATCCATGATTATTTCAATTTAGGGTATTTAACGGGATGTAAGTAACTGAATTTTATCATTTGTCTTAGTTATGTGGACTGACTGGAAAACTGAAGAAACAACCGATTGTGAAGAAAAGTGTTGTGAAACAGGGGGTCCAGTTATCAAACAAATAAGAAATTGTACAGTCCACCAACCACGATGTAACTTCATGGAATGTATGTATTATGGTCCAATTGAACGAGACATTTCCTGTTACACAGCTTGCAGCCATTGCATGCCCGGGAAAGGTTAGTTGTTATCATCGTATTGTATCTTTTACAAGGCCCAGAAACAGTAGATAACCACGTGATCGCTTTCCGCCAGTTCCGTTCGTCTCGCGTCGTTTCAACTAAAGCGTGCGCCGTGCCGGCAAACTATATAACTCAATGCAACGTAACGCGATGCGATAAAATACTGACAGTGCAGATTAATCAATACCAGGTAATGCATTGTAATACAACACCATGCAATAAAAACAATGCAATACCATAAACTTCATTTTAAAGACCTGAGACAAAATTATAAGTTTTGCAACCTATATAGAGATAAGAATTCATAGATCATTTTAGGTCGTTTTCACATTTACGACAATATTTCTTTGAGAGAGCCAATAAAGTACGAGTAGAAGGGGCTCAGTCGTGGATAAAGTAGCTGGCGTGGCAAGCGTTTCCGTTTGGTTTCGGAGCAAAGAAAGACCGAGGAACGGGATTCTCGGTTTTGGCCGCGCGAGAAATGAAACAAGAGCCATTTTTCGCGCGGTCTTTGACTCTCGTTCCTCGTTCTTTGCTCCTAAACCGCACGGAAACGCTTGCTACGCAGGCTATAGATGAAGTATCGTGGGCTGTCGTACAGGTTTTACCTTCGACAGGGTAGACGATAGGCCGGTGGAAATACAATCCGGCAGTCAAGTAAGGCTGCTATGGTATTCTTCGTTTCCTTCTCTTGGCCGGCGGGCGGTGGCAATTATGTTTCACAAATTGTTAATTGAGGAAGCAGTGTTAAATTCACGGTTAAAACATTTGGTGTTTTCATTTTTGCTTTACCGTTTAGGTCATATCTTGGCAGGACCAGGGGTCATACCAGTAACTGCCGCTCTCCTCATCTCTCTGTAAGTAGTTTGTTCCAAACTAGAATCTAGGCTGCTTTTGGTACTCACCCCAACAAACGGTCCCGGCCGCTACTAGGAGACACGTCGCACAGGGATAATCGCCAGGACCTTCATGTTTAGAGTTACGTCGAATTTTAAGGTGCCAAATTTTCAGCTTGTCCCACAAAAAGAATTCGCATCAGTGTTGAAAGTAGAATATAGATTTAGAATAATGTGTGGACGCTGACTTTACAATAATCACAAAGATTCAAAGGGACGTTTAGAAATTCTTTTGACGCAAGTAAATGACCAAAAATGACTGTAGTAAATCAACAAGAATTCCTTTATAGTGATTGTTTTCATGTGTACAATCGTTTCATGATGTTATTCCATGATTCCATGCGTCTGTGGGTTGACGTCAAAATGTGGTAAAAACAAAGAAGTGGCATGGTTTAGGCATTCTCAAGTAGTCAAAAGCTCTTTTTGTCTCCGTTTCTCCATTTTTCTTCTTTGTAAATAGATCCTGCTAAACTTTTTTCGAGGGTCTCACTTGCTCTAATCCGAAATAATCTCAAAACCGCGCCCCATGTTGAAGAAAACAAAACATAGCGCGAAATCATAGCGCGCATAGCATGCACATCATTGTATATAATTTATAAACAGTGGTTGATACACATGGTGTATATTTATTGGTTTCTTGTAGGGTTATCACCAGGGCCTGAAGAGAAGACAGATTAACACAAAAATACATATGTAAGGATTAATTTGCACGACACAAGTGTGCGTTAAAATTTAGCCAGAAAGTTGTTTAGTAGGAGTGTAATATAGCATGTTCTTAATCATATTCTGGGTGATGCAACTAGCTTGAGGTCGAGGCTCCATATTTGGCTCAATTGCAAGCTAATTCCAGTACGTGATCCGATTGCTCTCTGCTTCACTGTATTTATCCATAAATTGCCCCATTACTAGAGTACGACGTTTGATTTGAGCTTGGATTGGGCGAAGCTCTTCCAAACGTCCAATTTCATTCGTTCTTCCTGGCACTAAGCTCTGTTGTTTCAGGACTAAGGTCCACTCTGTTATGTTTACTGTTTTTTCTCACCGAAGCGTGTTAGCTGCTTAAAAGCTTCCAGGCGGACCTTAATGTTCAATAATTCAATGCATCTATTATTGTCGTTATAAATAACGTTTGTTGTGGTTTAACTTAACGTCAGGCAGTTTTGTAATATACATACCGATTAGTGTTTTACAAACTATTTTTCTTTACACACCGACTACGTCAAGGTGCTCGAAGTAGGCTACTTTGGCTTACTTTCGAAGATGTGCTTTTCTAAGGGTCACGTTTTGTAAGAAACCATATTAATCTAATCACATGACGTTATGCACACAAAAAAGGAATTCAGTTATAATTATTCCATCTTTTCTTCATGGATCACCTGGAGAAAAATCAAGTGCTTAGTAAGAGTATTAACCTGCGTAAAGACGTCTCCTGTTTCCTTTGTTGCACGCTGAAAAGGCCCTATTCAACTATGCAGAACACTAGCCACGCTCACTGTAAACACAACATACGTACATAAATTGCAATTTCCTTATCGTTATAACAGTAATTGTGAGTTTATTGTGTACACTGTACTTGATAAAGTTTCAAGAATGGACTTGTGGTCGTTTGAGTTTTGCAGATGTAATGACTAACACCTAAAAACCGCATGAAAAAACATTTAAGAAACAGCTTTATACATCAAGGTAGTTGGAGAACTTAAGTTGTAATATCCTCAATCCACCGCTGGTTTGTAAAATGATTCTCAGAAAAATAAACAACTGATATCAAGACCGTCATAGTTATTTTATTTATATTCATTTACAATTATAAAAATAAAGAATCTACTTATCTAATTTTCTATCATCTAACTACAATAACGTCCTATCAGATTTACTGTTTTGAAGTGTCGCGTGAGGAGACTGGGTCGGCCTTATGTCGATTTACACCATTGAATAAATTTTGACTAATCCCAGTGCGATCTCGAGATGACCAATAGAAGAAAGCGAACACGTCCTTATGAAAACGTTCTTTGGTGCGGTCCTTTGGTGCACTTCCGGCGATACAACACTGACCCAGTCTCACTAGCGACCCCCAAAAAGCCCATTGTGGAAGAGACCTGGTACTATACCAAGCTAAACATTAGTGTGCCTAGAAATGAGGTTAAGTATGATAGCAGAGACTCCAGGCTGTACAAACGACAAGCTACGAGAAAACTTATTGGCCTTCCACTTTGCAGTTATTTGTTTACTAAAAAAATTCTCAAGTTTCTTACAAGGAAAATTTTTTTTCTTACATTTTCGAGATTTCTTACATTTTTACCGGTAACTATTTATCAAAAATTCTAAAGACGGTATCCATATCGATTGAAAAACAGTCGGTCTTTTTCCGCTGTTCAAACGGCGCCAATGGCAAGAAAGCATCGAATCTCCCTCACGCCCTTGGCTGGAGTCGAGAGAAAGCTTAACTAGTATCACTTCCTCTTTTCATTTTCGCTCCAGGCCTTGTTTGCCGACCAACGCGGAGTTATGAGTCCGGATTAAGAAACGGAAAACCCATTGCTTGAAAATTCTGATTATCAAAAGAAGAAATTCAAGCGCTGATTTCACTGAAACCGGTCCGGCAGTGTCTACGGACCGCACGACACCGTTGCGCCTCTATTTGTTGCCTAGTTTATTCAAGTTTTAACTGCTTTTTTCGTTTCGTTTTTTCTTTTCTTCCATGTTTCTCATTTCACGTTTAAATGTGTAGTTCCAGAAAATATCTAAATTCCCCACGGAGGGCAACAGAAATTCAGAGGGGAGGGGGAGGGGGGAGTCCAGAAGGAGGCAATTTCCGAGGGATTGGGGGGTGGCCTCTCAAGGTCTTTTTTCCGGTGCCTCTGAGTAAGACTGATGAGCAAGCTATCAGTTATTTTACTGTTAATCGGTGTTTCAAAGCCAAAATTATTGTTTTCGTCGATGATCTATTATTTGCGGTAGGCTGAGTGCTTTTTTCACTTCTTGCACGATAGTTTATGAACACGATTGTCGACGGCTCATTAGTAAACTTACTTTGTTTCACAACATATTGTGGTATTCACTGTAACGCAATTATCTTTCGCATAAAAGTATAGTGCAACGGCATTTTTGAGGGAAATATTCTTTCCACGGGGTACCCAAACAAGTTGGAAAATTACGGAAATTCCAAGGGTTGGGGGGGGGTATGACATGCACCCCCTGGAATTTCTATTCCAGGGGGTTGGAGGGGTCTCAAACAAAAGTGCCCTCCGTGGGGGGATGGACTTTTTTTGGAACAACACAATAACAAAATTCTTTTTTCATGAGAGGTCACTATAAGGAACGTTGCAAAAATTCTACAAGAAGCGCCAGCGAAAAATTGGTAACATCATAGACTGTTAAATCAACTAGAAACAATTAAGACCCAAGTAACCTTCGTCAAAGGCTGGTTACATTCACTCCATCAGAACATGACACACTATTGCTATTTCCCCAGGGAAACTACAAGACTCTGCTCAGCATCTGTGCTCAGCTTTTAACTACGGCCCTTCACTCATGCGCACTAATTGTCCTCTCGTACAAGTCTTTCTCTGCCTTCACAAACAGCTGCGCTGGCTCTTCGTCACGTGACTCGAGAACTGCAATAGACACGGTAGCTTATCTGAGTTAAGTGGACATTTCCAATGTAGGCTGCTTGCATGACAGATAAGTAACCCTACTCTAATGGATAAGTTTGACAGACAGTCCGCTGTTACATGAAGGCAAAGTGTCTCAGAGAAGTTTAAAACTTTGCGAGGTCGCCACTGACCGGCCTAATATCTTTTAATGTACTCAACCTAGTCGGTCAGTTGGGTCTATTACTTAGCATTTTTCGGTGCTGACTGTCAACCGATAGACGTTCTTTCCATTCTTGCCCTTGACCTTTGAAAATGACAACCATAGACTACATGTATATGATTCGTTTTCGTTGCTTAATTCACTGGTTTCAGATCTAAAGAATCCTCTTAATTTTACAATCAAGTCTCGAAACTATAATTATGAATTGATCCTGTTCGAATAAAAAACTAAAAACATTCACCCGAGACATTTGTGAACAGGCGAGGCCAAAAGAGAGAGTAACTTCACTTCACTGTTCACAGAGCTACCCTCCGGGCCTTCAGCCTTGGCATGGCTTGAACATTAAAAACGTTTCCCTATTCAGCGGGTTACCTTGGCAAGAAGTTAAAGCAAAAACCCACTCATTTCTCATGTTAACGAAACAGGGAAATCCCATAAAAGGGTCATCTTTTAGAGAGGGTACGCTCAACCTTCCTATACCCTGCCCTCAGCCCATACTAGCAGTTACACTACTACAAGAGAAATTTCTGCAATTTGATTGGCTTACAGCAGTGGTATTTCAGCTTAATTTGAAATACCTACATGTGAGAATTGCAAAACCTTTGCGGGTAGTAACATTTCTCGTGACATTTTAAAATTGTCTCAAATTTCACCCGCTTAACGGCTTGTGAAATTACGCATAACAATTTTGAAATATCACTCGTGGTATTTATACCAAATATCACTACAAATCATGCTATTACCTACACAAATACTTAACAATTAATGAATGAGGCTGAGTATCTTATGAAGAATTATGGAGATCGGGGAGGGTATTATCCGTCGAGGTATGTAGGCCGAGGCGGATAACACCCTCCGAGATCTCCATAATTCTTCATATGATACGAAAGCCGAATTCAATAATTGTTTTATTACTCATTCAAAATAATTCCTAGTTTAAAAACATGGCTAAAACATGCTTACCTCCATCGATGTTAAGTTCATCTTCGATAGTGCACGTTTAGGGTTGTTCAGCTCCGCAAATATTCTCTAAATAGCAGATGTCGCCATTCGAGTTGTCTTCTTGCTGTTCTTGCCATGTTTTTAGCTATTATTTAGCCTAGCTCTTACTCTTGAAACGAGTGAAATGTCCGTCATTATTGTTTTCACAACCAAAACAACTCAACCTCGTCCCCAGGTCTCCTCGGTTAACGGTGCATTAACCGGCAAGGAAGCTGTACTTTTGACGTCATCGGTTCATTAGTCGCAAAATTCTTCCAAATTTGGTCATCAGTAGCTGGTTATGGTGAATTATGCGTGTGCTTTTAGCCAATCAGAGTCGGAGAAATATTTGAATGAATAATAAAGTTACTTAAAAGTGATTCTTTACCTTCAAAGTACTGTCCCTCAGGTTTTGGGTGGAAGATGTTGCATGTTTCTTGAGGTATGCTTCCAAAGCCCCCTGTTACAACTTCACGCAAACCCTGAATATTATTCAAGTTGAAATACGCGTGACCAGCAATATCATCATTTGAAAACACGTCATAGTCCATCACTGTCAAATGTAAGCAGGCACCAGTCTCTTTCAGCAGCTCGGGTTCAACGTCACTGACAAAAACAATAAGTAAAACAATAATTGTTGAACAATCGTTGCGCACAGGATGTGCTTTTGTAAGTTTTGCAGGTATATTTAACATAGCTAACAAACTGCAACAAAAGGATCTTTTTTTGTCTTCCAAATGAATCTCAACTGTGACTGACACTGACTGGCCGTCACTATCATTTTAATACACCTTATTACAAAATGGCGGCAACACTACCCTTATGTTATATTTATGTTCATTAGAACTCTTTGCCTCGGTTTCACTTGCCAAATTTAAAGAAATGTTTCCTTGAAACGGGGCATCGATTATCACTAAACACAATTATCAAAAAGAGAAAGAATAAGACAATTTGACGCCAATTTGGTATAAAATGTATGATGACCTTTCAGACACTGCACCAAGGCTAGTTCCGCGAGAGGGCAAGACGTATTTTCAACGGTTGGGATTTCCCGCTTTGTCCCTCAAGAACAGATTTTGTACGAGCCATATACTAAAACCTTTATTGACCAAACAAGTTCAGACAAGATGTGGTTGTCTTTCAGTGTTTTTGCGCTTTTATAGACCTCAAAAACGCAGAAAGGACCTTGGGCCCAATATCCATACACCTTGACGGTTGGTCATCAACGTATATTTCTACCTAGTCAGCCTAGTCCATACGTAACATCCACACTGAATGGTAACATCATTACTTACAAATCGAACTGTTCGTCAAATAGAGGGAACAAATTATTTTTGATTGTCTCCGTTTTCTTGACCTCATTTCCAAAGAAATCCTCTGGTAACAGCCTCAATGTCACATACGGGTCACACAATCCTGGAAATCAATTAACAACAACCATACTGCAGTGCCTGTTCACACAACAGAAGAGTCTATATGTATACAGCTATTTGAAATTACCGTTCTAAAATTTCGATACAAAATTCCCAACTCAACTATGAAGCACGACAAAGGTAAACAGTTTTGAAGTTTTATATCATTAGTATAGCATTGACAACCGCGACGTTATTTATGACCTAATTTTAAGTGATTTACAGCTACCACAATGAGCTTGCTATCTTGTCACGAAGGGCTTGAGGGCTTAAATTCCGACAACGTCAACTGAAATAGCTGTATCTTGTAGGTAAAACCTGTTATCAGGTTAAGCCAGGATTTAATCTTTTTTTCACCTATTATGGTTAGCCTTTTTCAAGGGTTTTGACCCTGGTAACCTTGGCTGAGTAGAGGTTTAACCTGACAGTACTTTGTTCAAAGTGATGGTAAATTAGGACGCCGTAAACGAGATAACTGTAAATATCCCAAATCAGTATTTAAAGCACAGCAAAGCTGAGTATCACCTACCATTTGTGTCTAAAGGTGGAAGGTTTTTTGCATTCAATACTGAAAAGAGATCAGAACACTTGGTCAGTTAAAGTAAATATACCATTGCAATAAAAGCACTGACAAAAACACGGGATAACAAAACAACTGTTAACAGAACCTTAGTATGCAACAAAACAAACTAACAGTATAAAATATAATTAATACACCAAACGCATTCTGCGAGCGAGTGTAAAAAAGGGTTTCTGCCTCTAATAACTTGTAAAAAAAAATGTTTAGTATCAGGAGTAGTACAAATAAACCTACCTTCCACTTGCAGCTTTTGATTATTAAAATCAAAGAATACTTTAAATGTAACTGCCCCGTACTTTTCTTCGGCTTTTTCCTGAGAGGGAAAATACAGTAAGATGACAAAGAAAGTATTTGCGTTCTTTTCAGTTCACTCAAGTGTATTCAGCAAGACAATATGTGTAGGTATCCACGTCCTGTTTATACGACGTCGCATTGTTTAGAAAGTCAGTTCAAGAGATAGTTGGCTATGTAGAGGACGGTAAAGAATTGTACCAAAAAGCGAGACACGTTCAGAGATATTGCTTTTCTTACTATTGGGCTGCCTGTGGCAAAGCCCCAAAAAAGTTCTAAGTAGCATGTATGTCAAATTAAAAAAAACAAAATGGCATACGCATAACCAAGAAGGCTTCGCCTGTCCCGTCCCTCCTGCAATGGGACGATTCCATGACTTTTTGGGGAAGGGGGAAAGTGATTTAAGATAAATGCAAACAGACTTGAAACTATTTAAACAATGAAATAGGCCTCTGTATCGCGCAGCCTGCAGACCATGGTACCCCCAGTATGGGGGTCTTGTTTATAATGTAGTTTGTCCGTAACAACTTCTTATGCAGGATAACGTTTATTACTGTTTCTTTAGTGTGTTAGTGTGTTTTACTCGATCCATACCTGCTCCTTGCACTTCTCAGCTAAGTAATGCTGTATTAATTCAATCGTGGACAGCTTACGAGTGCTGAGGGTTTCAACCAGAGTCTATGGGAAATAACAAAAGTACATAAGAAAACTGGTATAGAACATTTGTGCAACGTAATAAAGCACACATAAGTTAAGAATAAGTCTGGTTAACAAGATGAACTTTCTCTGACCAACCGTGTTATCAGTAGTTTCGGCAAATGAACACTGATTGACGTATGAGTCTTATACGTTCGACAGAATTGAATCTGGGTCAACACGAAGTTCTATTCACTTGTGCCACTTGAACAGAACAGAACAGAACTCAGAAGTTCTACAGAGTTTCAGATGGAGAAATCTCCTGCTTTATTTGAGAAAGATATTCGCAAGTTATACAGTACTCCAATGGAAATATACTTTGACCTTGCCAATGAGTGAGTTTCCATAAATAAAACGAAAAAATTTCAATTCCTAATGACTACGTTGACTCCGTGTAAATAAAAATGGTAACGGCAATTTCGCCCGGGACAAGAGCTTTTTGAACAACAACAATATGAACAAAAGGTCTTAAGCCCTTATTTTGTCTTAAGTAAAATAAACATGTATTCATCAAAACCAAACATTCCTGAAAAAAAACACATACCACAAGAAAACACGAAACTGAAGCAACAAGCAAAAACTTCTCTCCATAGGGACAAAAGGTCATGATTAGAACTCACCCTATAAAGCCCAAGCTGAAGGCGCTCCACAGGAAGCCCAGCCCCATCAGCGTGAAAGAAACTCAGTACTATCTGCAAAGCACGACAATCGGCCATCAGCTGATCTATTCTTTTGGAGTACAGTGGATAAGTAATCAACATGCACGATGAACTTCAAGGAAATCTTTCAAAAATCTGTTCACACAATGTGTTGAACTACCGAACACGACGTTGTGAATTTTATACTACAGCTTGCGCTATAAGAAAGAGATGAAGTGAGATGGTGAGACTGCCTATTTGTAAAAAATCACGTAGTCTGCTGCTTCCTGTCAGCAGAGATTGCTTCACTTTATTAATTTTAACTGCAAGCATCTGTTTACGAACCAAATTAAATTTTGTTAAACACTTAAGACATCATAACTTATGACATCATTATCAAGTGGCAAAGATAAAAATAAAAACTGACCCGGAGACAGTTGTGTTAAACTTTTCTCGCCTATCTTTTTTCTTAAGCATCTGTCTGTGTCGTTTAATTTTCCCTTCTTAGTACCCTTCAGCGTCCTTATAACATATCTAACGGAATTCTGTAGCCTTCTTACTGTTCTTAACCTTGGCAAGCATGGAATAAGCTTTTCTTGGTACAGAAACAAATTACCACGTCTTTATACCATTCTGTTACTTATGTTAACCACTTATTTTAAGTGCGTATTAAAAAACTAACTGATTCAAGTCCCCATACCGCGCTTTACCTCAAGAGCCTCATACTGTCTTTGGTAAAACGCTGCAGTTTTCTATGAAAAAAATGCATCTGTTAGTTTAAGACTGGGTTATAAAACCACACATGAAAAAGAAACACACAACGTATGTATGCTTACCCCCGAGTTTGTTTTTACGGCATTGGTGAAGTTTTCGATAACGATCTCCCAAATGAAATGAAGAATCCTGACGAAGAATTTAACAAAATAAAATGAATAAGCACATGAAGGAGACACCTCGCACTTGTTAATCATAAACCATTCAGCACTACATACTTCATCAATACAAGCCCAAGTTTGAAAAGGCAGTGACCGCTTAATTTCAAAATCATTCTTTCTGTTCTTCACTTATATAATGTTCGTTTCTTCGCTTTCTCAAAACACAGTCTTGCTAATCCACAAACACATTTTTGTGACAGAGTGGAGATTCTTCTGTTGGGATATCATATTGCAAAAAATATCTTCAACACCAACAATTTGTTGAAAGTTTAGCAGATCTTTCGGAACCCATCCGGATTCCTTCATCAGTGATGACGTTTGCTGTTATTCGCAGCCTGGTTTTTCTTACCTTTCAAACACTGATTTGACTACACTAGTGTTTAGAACCATCAGATCATCATCCAGATATTGAAGCAAGCCACCTACAACCTGTCAGACAGAGTAACATCAACAAATTTGATTAAAAACACTTCATAATTTAACAAAAATCACACAAAAGAAACTCGTTTGGAATCTCAGAACTGCTGAAAGATGTTAAATGCGGGCTGAGATATAACAAGGTCATAATTTATGTGTTCAAGACGTTAAGAGTTCAAGCAAAAAGTTAGACTGGTGGTTGGTAAGACATACAAGAACTTTGGTCACTTGTTCCAGGTGAATTTCACTGTCTTGTTGTACAGTGTCAGTACGTCATTGAATAATTACAAACAATACGTATGTTGAACTTTAATGGAATGGGAAATTCTTAGGAAGTTAGTTACAAGGAAAACAAGCGCACTAAAACTAATAAAATCTTGGGTTGACTGTAAAACCTTGTCATGTTTAACTTACATCTTCCGCTGGTATGTGATCTGAGGCGCAGGAGATTTGAAACACAAATCTCTTGATGTCCACACCCATCTGAGAATAGAAAAGTATAAAATTCTTGTTGCCACTATAACTGTGAAATAACCTTCACAATATTGTATAGCATTACTCACTGTTTACAAACATTGTTTTTGCTATTCAAATGTGTAACGAAGGAAAAAAAACTGCTTGCGAGAACCAATGCGCTTCTGTTTGGCGCATTAATATCATTACGTAATTTCAGCGTGAGTAAACGGTGTACACCAGGCAATAAATAGAGTAATTAGACGCCGAACTTTTCATGAGCCGAACTTTGAATTATGAACATGACAAGTTCGGCGTCTGAAACAATTAGGAACGCCTGTTTCAGTTTGGAACGGCTCAGTCGCTCTTCCCGCTCAGCCCACCCAGGAATTTCGAAGTGTGCAACGACTTTGGAACGGCTTTGATTCAGACGCCGATTTTTTCATGTGCCTAACTTAACGCATAAATTATAATAACGTATTTTGCAAGCAGTTTGACCGAAATGAACATTTTTCTCCTTTTGAATTTAGTTCGACTGGAATTAAGATCAGCGTCCGAACCAATTCAGCGGGTCTAAATAGTTTGGGTCGGTCTTAATTCGAAGAAGGTTCGGCTCATGAAAAGTTCGACGTCTGAACTGGGCCTAAGCAACGACACCGGCAAAAAGCAAATCAACAACTTTGCACTTGCATCCAGTTTTTTTTACTGAATTTCTCTTGCCTTTGTTGCCCGACTACGACGTGAAACTCCTCAATTTAACGTTTAATGGACGTCGTGGACACAAGGCAACAATTTTCTTTTTCTTTTTTAAATACATCGCTTTAGCATTCAACTCCAGGAAAATTCCTGGAAATTTAACAATTCGAACGAGACGGAATAAGAACGATGAAGTTTCAAATGGCGCGAATTCATTTTTTTAAGTAACGTTTTCTCTGCCATCGCCGTCAAGGTTGCTTAAGCTTGCTACTGAATGGTGAGAGGAAAAACCGTTAGGGATACAAACTTGCAGTTAGATAGGTTATGGGACGATACTCTAGCAAATTATTGTTAGAATATCATGCTTATAAGCTAATATATTAAGTAACCACATACCCGCTGTCCAATATGCTCGACGGCAGCAGCAACCTTATTTAGCATGTCCTCATCTGAACTAGAGAGCATGTTCTCTAGCGCTGTACGCGCGTGATTCCCGCCTCTTTCACCGTGTGCTACCATCATCGCATTAATGACTTCTTCCCAGCCCATCCTCTCCGGTAACTTTGCCAGCCACAAACGCATGTACTCAATGTCGTTCAGTGTGACGCACAACTTAAAGACAGAAATGAGTGATCAACAAAAGGCACTATGTTATTTACTAAGACTGCGTTCTAAAGCAAATAGAGCGTTTTCACTCACGTGGCCAGCATCTACGCAAATTTATTGAAACAAAAAAAAGCGTTTGCATAAGAAAAGGATTTGTTTGGGACAACAGCATGGCCGCCGTTTTAAGATTCGTCGTCACATGATCGCCGTCCTTAAAAGCTCGTATTAGGACATTTCACGTTGTAGTTGTGCAGAAGTGACAGTAACGAAATGTATTAACAAGTGAGTGACGTATGCACAGAGGTGGTTTTTTTGCTTATCAACGTTATTGCTTTTGTTTAGTTGTTATCATCATAGTAGCTTCAATAAGTTTCCCTGATACAAGGAGTCACATATATTTTAAGCTCAATTAGTTATGATGCTAATTTTGTAAAAACAGGTTCTATCTACAACAAAAACACAACTAACTTAACCTCTAGCTGCCATTTGCACGATGACGTCATTTTGCATTTACAATCATCATCCTTCTGGGTTTTGCCTTTTTGTGTAAATTAGGGCTTTTGTAATTAAACCTCTACTGGGATTACCAAATATAAACATGAAGGGAAAACGAAAATCGGCTCCTGATTCTGGTCGTAGTAGAAAAGTGAAGCCATCACGCAGTAACGGCCTTTTCTAATAACAAACGTTAAAAATAACCACATCACCCAGAACTGACAAAAACAACATGTTCGTCCTCTTTTTCGTGTTAGATGACTCACCAGCTCTAAGGGTGAAAGGACCTTACCTGTTCACTAACGTCAAACTGCGAAGGGTCCTCATCGTAATAGTTATGTTTTATCATCTTTTCAAAAAGGAGATCAGCGTAATAACAGGCACAGCTGCAAATTTGCTAAACACAGTAAAAATTTAAGGTTAGCAACTAGAAAACACGTGGACAACGTTTCAGACCTATCAGTGACATAAAAATAACATAAATTAAAAAAAAATCGTTGTTTCTTTGGCTGAGAAAGGGAGCCGCCCTTAGAAATTTGGTAGACTTTCTCCCTCAAAGACACTGACATTTGGGGGGAGGGGGAGCTAACTCTTCGTTAGAAGTCACATTAAGGTGACTCGACCCAGTTTTTTTGAGGGGGTACTATCCTACTTTGAAGCTCTCTGGTATCCCCACCTTTACTTTTATCGTAAGTCTAACACGTAGAATGGATAACATATAGATCAATCTACAATATAACATAAAATTTTTGGCGATCGGAGTAAATGTCACGTGGTTATAATGCCACGCCCCTTTGAGGACTTAGTCGAAAATCTGCTGTTGCAGGCATTTTTTCGTGAAAATCTCTCGGCTACACATAGCGCGCATTAGTGCCTTGCGCTGAACAAAGTTTCACCAAAATCGCAAAGACCCAATTCGAGAAATTCAGCGGTTTCCAAATTTAGGTCATAATTTATGCGAAAATGATAAGCAAACTTTACACGGATTATATCTAATAAACTATGCGATTCATCTCTTTATTTTGGGCATTGTTATAACAGATGGGTCCTTGCAAGTCAGCAAAACGCTTTAGGGCCTTGTAAATGCGTGCGATTTCGAGCAAAGCAAACATATAGAAATTATAATTTTCGCTATTTGTTGACGTTTGTTAGCGTTTAAGAGTCTTTCTCACGAAAAAAGCATTTTCTTAAAAATTCGTAGTTTTTTTTCCTTCAAATTTTTTCAGGGCCACAATTGATTAACTAACTACCCGGACTCTAAATTTCATGGTCATTGAAAAACTGTGACATTATCTTCTATAAGCCCAAACTTGAGTAAACATTGAAGATTTTTAGCGTTTTGGCTGAGTTTGTGCTTTGGGAGTTGTCTATTGTTTCTAGTCTGTCATTATACAGCATTCTTGTTCAGCACGCGTGCAATGACCGCGCTTGGCTGACTTCCGAATGCTCACCGAGATATTATAATTTTGGTACAGTGAGACAGGCCATCGCGTGATACATAGAGGTTTAAGTCACAATTTTTAATCAATTCTCGTGCTTCTTGTGCCTTTGCAAAAAAATCAAGAAGTGCTACACACTAAATCTACTTACTATTAAAAAAATATCATTTTTTCATAGGTTTAATGCAAGCCAATAATTAAACCAACTCGTGACGGGAATATCTCGGTGAGCATTCGGAAGTCAGCCAAGCGTGGTCATTGCACGCGTGCTGAACAAGAATGCTGTATAATGACAGACTAGAAACAATAGACAACTCCCAAAGCACAAACTCAGCCAAAACGCTAAAAATCTTCAATGTTTACTCAAGTTTGGGCTTATAGAAGATAATGTCACAGTTTTTCAATGACCATGAAATTCAGAGTCCGGGTAGTTAGTTAATCAATTGTGGCCCTGAAAAAATTTGAAGGAAAAAAAACTACGAATTTTTAAGAAAATGCTTTTTTCGTGAGAAGGACTCTTAAACGCTGACAAACGTCAACAAATAGCGAAAACTATAATTTCTATATGTTTGCTTTGCTCGAAATCGCGCGCATTTACAAGGCCCTAAAGCGTTTTGCTGACTTGCAAGGACCCATCTGTTATAACGATGCCCAAAATAAAGAGATGAATCTCATAGTTTATTAGATATAATCCGTGTAAAGTTTGCTTATCATTTTCGCATAAATTATGACCTAAATTTGGAAACCGCTGAATTTCTCGAATTGGGTCTTTGCGATTTTGGTGAAACTCTGTTCAGCGCAAGGCACTAATGCGCACTATGTGTAGCCGAGAGATTTTCACGAAAAAATGCCGGCAACAGCAGATTTTCGACTCAGACCTCAAAGGGGCGTGGCATTATAACCACGTGACATTTACTCCGATCGCCAAAAATTTTATGTTATATTGTAGATTGATCTATATGTTATCCATTCTATGTGTTAGACTTACGATAAAAGTAAAGGTGGGGATACCAGAGAGCTTCAAAGTAGGATAGTACCCCCCCAAAAAAACTGGGTCGAGTCACCTTAAAGGTGAGCCGGTAATTAACGTTAAATTGACTGGCTTCATAGAGAGGAGAAGTCGTTACGTCACGCTGCCATGGTAGCGTGGAAAACAAACCGAAAACGGCACTTAAAAAGTGAATTCGTACTGTTACTAACTTCGTCGATCTGATTAAATTTCATTTAACTTGTCAAATGTTGGTGAAATTGTCTGGGTTGGATCCGGAACGACAGTATCTAAGAAAAAAAGGAAAGAAAATTTGCTCACCTTCTCCATAAGGCGGGCGCGTGCAATTAGGAAGTTATCTGACGCAGTCGTGCATTGACGGCTAAGAATAAATGTTCAAAGAGCGTGATGCACGTGCAGAGTTGTTGTTTTGCTGATGTAATTAAACCTATTGCTTTTTTCCTTTTCTCGTTGCTTAAGCGCCCTCTTGTCGTGATCCAGAAATTTTGCGAGTAATACAGTGGGGATGTTTTATTCCCTTTTTTCGCGCTGGAATCTCATTAACTTGCGCAGGAATGCATTAACCCCGATGACGTCATAGCCTTTTGTCCTTATTTCATGAATAAAGTGCGCTGGAATCTCTTTATCTTCTCTTTTTTGTCTGTCTAATACAATAACAATAGACCTACCATCCTTGACCGGTTTTAAAGGTTTTTAGTTATTTTTGGTCTTTAAATATCCTGGTTTTCGATTGGTTGACTAGGAAATATGAAACGTTTTCATTGCTTAATTCATGGTATCTGAGGAATAAAGTCAAACTCGCATGTGGCTTACAATCACTGAGCCGTAACGTAATTATTCACGTTGTATTTTCTGCCGCTGTCATTGTCCTAGTTCCGGTTCACTGATTCTTGGCGGGCAAATCGTGCATATTAATGAGGGCAAAGGCAAACTAGCTCTTTTTAGCACAAAACACAATGTTTTACTTACCCCACACCCCTCCTACTCCTCCACAATTAATTTATTTTCCCTTTCTAATTTTCCCTTTTTTTTTTAATTTCCATCCACGACCCCAGCGACCCGGGGGGGGGGGACTCCGCATATAAAAGGGGTGGGGATGCTCGTCGTCTCGCTTAGGGGTGTAAATTTCGGATTTTGGTCTCATTTAGGGTGTTCTGTGCAAAACACCGTCATATTTAGCCCTGAAGGTCTCGTTTAGGGTTGCACGCGAAAAAATATAAAAATATATATTTGATATGTATATCTTTAATTCGTTTTATTTATTCCATTCATATAATCCAAGTTTCTCATTTATCTGTGTTTTAACTTGGTCTCTTTTAGGGGTCCAAAAAAAGCTTGGGCCACGCCCAGATCGGTCTCCTTTAGGGGTTTAATTAAAAATTTCCGACGAGCATCCCCACCCCTTTCATATGCGGAGTCCTCCCCCCCGGGAAATCGACCCTCCTTCGAAATTACGGCTCAGTGATTGTAAGTCACATGCGAGGTTGACTTTATTCCTCAGATACCATGAATTAACCAATGAAAACGTTTCATATTTTCTAGTCAATCAAACGAAAACCAAGATATTTACAGACCAACCTGTAAAACCGCTGAAGGATGGTGGGCCCATTGTTTCTATTGCATTGGAAAGACAAAAAAGAGAAGATAATAAGATTCCTGCCCATTTTATTCATGTCATAAAGACAAAAGGCTATGACGTCATCGGCGTTAATGTATTCCGCCGCAAGTTAATGAGATTCCAACGCAAAAAAGGAGTAAAACATCTATACTATACTACTTTGCTACCTTGCTAACATGACGTCACACTTCTCTCTATCCCTGTCTTAAATCGTAATTATGGCAGTCGTGTTGTGCTTTCAATTCTGTATATACCTCGGTGATTTGCATGACAAACACGTATGACCCAGCTGGATCTGGCCAAGCGAGCTTCTTCCAAAACTCCCGGATCTGGCACGTGAGACAGAAACAAAAGAAATAATTACTATTTTTCACCTGAAAAACTGTGGAACTGCGAAGATTCGGCCACACCCGTGAACTCCACAGAGCCAATCAGGTTAATTATTTCTATCGTTCGGTTAGGTGAACGATGAAGATGTGGAGGTAAGATACAAGTGACTGGATAACTTGTATTATTATACGTTTTACCCACTGTCTGTCTTCTCACTGGCTGAAGAGTCTACAGTTAATTTTGGGTATCAGCACAACCTACAGATTAGTTAGTAGTTATCTGCTAGCAGATAACAGACTTATCTGTAGGTTGCGTGTGCTATACATGATTCCCAAGAGCAAAGTCAAACTGTGTTTCGTGCGAGGACAGTGTAGTTTTCATCATTTTTTTTCAAAGCAATGCCTAATGGTTTTTTGATATCTGAAAGAATCAAGTTCGACCTCATCCATAATTCAGCTCGCAAATAAGCCCAGCGAAAGAAAGAAACCATTAGACTGGAAACGATTCGACTTAGTGATAGATAAATATGAAATAGTCCATGTATAATAGCATCTCTCCTTCTCTAAGATAATTAGAATCGAGAAAAGTTGGGCGAAAAAAGCGTGGAGGCTGGGGAGAGACGGAGTAGGGGAGCCTGTAAGGTCCTGTATAAGCGTTGTTTTCAATACCTCATTCCAGTGTACCAGCTCCTCTTATACCCTACGATTGGTCAATTGCAACAGTTTACATCAACAGTTACATCAATCATTTGATCTGACGTTTTGAAATTTGTCATTTTGACACGAGAAACGGTTTTTCAGGAAGTAGGCGGAATGAGTTATTGAAAAGAAACTTACAGGCTCTCCCCTTCTCTCTTCCCGCCGTTTTTCGCTCGTTCGCTATTTCAACTCTCGCTCGCTTTTGTAGCTCGTCTACACTGACCGAGAGCCTGGCACCAGCTACATTACTCCCCACGGAGTGGTACTGAAAAGGTTTTTTTTTTTGGGGGGGGGGTCCTTACCCATGGATTAAAAGCAGACAATGGATTTATCTTTAAGCACTGCTACCAAAAAATTTTGCTGATTATCCTAGTCTTCTAAAAGTCTGTGCATGAAAATATCAGCTCACACTTAATAGGTACAACAACATTTTGGTACATTTTTTTTCATTACATACCTGACAAAAACAGCCCGCCGCATCAACGGTCGAAGTTGAGTGATTCACACTTTCATCAATCCTTAAAATCTACAAAGGCAACGAAGAATAAAAAAATATTACAAGAAGACTACAAGGTCCAAGGTATAAAAAGCAACACATCTTTCAATTGGAATTAAACTGGGCAGGGTCCAATCTCGTTTCTAGTAGAGGCTGCAATCCTTTTGGCCAGCACCAAGGATTACTAAGCCCTGGAAGATCTCTGATTGGCCAATAAAATCGTGTTCATCGCATGCAAATTCATTTGCAAAATCAAAAAACCGTGAGGACGTTGATTTTTCTTTGACAGATCATTTGTGTACATCCAAATCTTTAAGACTCGATAAGTCACGAAACCACGCCACAATGACGTGACATTTTATTCAAACATTTCCTTTGACTTATTTTTTTAAAGTCGTTTCAATGCATACGTATATGTTACTGAACCTTTCAAATTTGCATTCAGCAGTGCTCGTTCTAAGCACGAAAGAATGTGTGTCGTCAGGACTAACAAATGATTCAGTCGCGGCGTTTTAAATAAATATATATTATTTTCGGTCTCTTTGGACAGTCCTTTCATTTTACTTTCTTCACTAAAAACATCGTAAACAAAACCTGATTTGGGTCGATAGTGCAAGCAAGGCCAGTTTACCTTGAAAACTTCTCCTGCTTAAATAGGTAAACAATTTCACGTAGGTGCAATTAAACCGGAACCAAGAGTTTGTGGTTCCGGTTTTGGATTCTTCAAGTGCGTCCGTCGCCCGTTCCGCTGGATAAGGGTAACGCAGGCTGTGGGAACGAGATTGGGCAGGGTCTAAACTAGGAGTTTCAATTTGAAAGTAAGCGTTGGCGTCAGAGCTGGGAGACAATACTGAGAATACAATACAATAAATAAAGCGAAGAAAATAAAAATTACCCCTGGGAATTAGGGCGAGTACGCCTTTTTCAAAAAGAAAAATATGTTATTTCTGTGTATTTGCGATGTATAAAAGGGGAAAACACTTCGGGTAAATTTTCAGAGTGGAATCAGATGATAAATGGAGCCTGACTTTTCAAGTTTATATGTTTTAGATTTCTTGACTTGCCTATGGAAATAATTTCATCGAGATCACGAACGGTTAAGTGATGAATTCCGAGGAAGACAAGATATTTATATGGGTTTGGCTGCTCTATTATGTCAACAATTTTTCCGATTCGCGAATGGAGGTGTAAAGATATCGACGCATAGATATTCAAGGGTTTAATGTGGTGCTCGAGACGTTTTCTTTTGACTTAAAGGCTTAAAAACGATTGCAGTCGATGTTCTCGCTGCTCCGCGGTTTCTAGCTGTTATCTGAATATTCTAATAGGGAGTTTAAGATGTCACTACGACGACGGGGACAGCAACGAGAACGTCAAAAAAAAACTGCATAGGTTACCATTAGCAAAACAGCAGCTTTGCACGAGCAGCACACTGTTTTGGATCATTTCTTCAGGGGCACCTAACGTCAATTTTCGGAAAATATCTGCTCGGAAGACGATTTGAGATCTAGAATTTTCTGAACATTTGTTGTAAAATTTCTTGCTTGCCTGTCTCTCCTTGGATTTTCGAACATCTAAAAAATGGTATAATGGCCAATTTTTAACGGATTTTTTCCCTAAAAAGGTCTCCTAGATTTTTCTGGAGCCTTTTTTCGGGCTGAAATTTTCGAAAAGGTAAGCTTTGATCCGTATAATTTTCGGATCACTAGACTTTCAGTTAGGAAATCCGAACAGGTGAAAAAAATTTAGGGGATAAAAATATACCTATATCTACCGTTTAAATACTAAAATACGTTTAACAATGCTATGTTTAAGTGGTTTTGAACTATATTCTGGTTGGGTGTCCTTGATTTCTTTGCCGACTATGACTTGAGGAGCAACCACGTGTACATACGACGACGAATTTCGCTTTCTCTTTTCAAACTTGGATATTTTTCTTAAGAATTCAACTCTAGGAGAATTACCCTACGGCATTAGACAAAGTGAGCGAGTTGTGATAATTGTTCAAAAGTTTCAATGAACGCGAAGTTGCGTTACGTGACGCTTTCGCCGCCGCCGCTGTCGCCATCGTGGTATATTAAGTTAAGTTCCAGAAATTTTGCTACCATGGTAACTTGACGTCACACTTCTCCTCTCTACTCCGACAAAATTATAAACTGGCATTCGCGAGAGGAATAATTTAATAGACTGCCCTATAGGTAGGGTTCATACCGTGTCAATTTCCACTGCCTTTCTGATTCGCTCTCTGGCTTTGACTTGCGCAATATCAAGCCACCGCATGACAGACTGTTTAAACCAGTGATGGTAATCATCGAGAGCATACAAATGGTCTGACCTGACAAAGAACAAGAGAAATATCACAAACAAGGCAACTCCTCAAAAAAGTAGTTACCCAAGAAGCCGGGGAAATCCGTTTTTCCCCCAAAGGACTTCTTAAGGAGAAGCGTTGAGCGACAACACAGAAAACCTAACGTACGAAACTACCGCAAATTATGATAAGGAAGCTAAATTTTTGGTTAACAATGAAAGTATTGACTGGTTGATTAAATTTCCAGGAAAATTTGATCGGTACATCCCTTAGCTCCTGAAAATTTTGTGTGCACCAGTTAAACTGCGAGGAGTTTTGAAACGTGATCAACCTTTTGGAAATGTTTCAAACAGACTAGCTAGAGCAAAAGAGATGTTGGCAGATAAAAACTGTGTCATTAATCTTATACCCTGGGTCTATTGAGATTGTCTGTAGCCATAAGAAGGGAACATAACAGTCTCGAACTGAATTAGCAACATTAAATATACCACAAAGGCAAGTGTCGCCGAGCAAATGAATGACACAAATAAATGAAATTAATAACACAAGAAGGTTAAGAAAATCAGCTGGCAAACCAATTAGCATATTTACAAGAGTGGTGGAGGATTTCAACTCTGCCGCGAATAAATCCAAGTAGCATTCAGAGTGTGGACTTGAACTCAAGGCCTCCGGATTGCAAGTTCAACGCTAGAGTACAAGCTTTCGGTGCAACGATTTCCGGGATCCGGTTAGGATGAGCAAGGGTGCTTAATGCCTTCCTTGAATACCATCGACCAATCATAACTAACGCTTGTCCGCCTTAACGATCCCAGAACTCACTGCGGCAAAAGCTTGTACCCATTCTCCCTAGAGCTTATGACAGAAGTGGTAATAGTTGAAGGTGTGTGAGTTCACCACAGTGCATTCTTACTTGGCTTCTCCAATGCTTCTATAAGTAATGGCTTCCCTGACTGCCAAGTATAATGCAAACAGCTTTTCTCCCACAATATCAGCACCGCTTTCCTGTTTGAGGCGCTTGTCTATGTTCCTCATCGTGTTGTGTACATCAGAAGCAAGCTGAAAACAAAAACGCACAAAATCGTTTGAACTACAACAGTATCTTAACTTTAACTAAGGGTTGAACAAAATGAAGTTTATTTCCATTTCTCTCTTTATTTTTACTTCGAGCTACTAAATTACGCTGCTAAAAGTGTGCCAATAGCCCTACGCAGAAGTTCTTAAGGTTTCGGCACGCGTTCCTTCCTCACAAAGGTTGGGTAGTGTTGCGTGACAAGCCAAAGCGAAGTCTGGTGGGTGCAGGGACGCCAACGGCGTCAAACGTCCCAATGGAAGGCAGTTTGCGAACGGTTAGAAAATCCAGATGCCAGTCATTTAAGCTTTCAAATCATTTATAAAGCACCCCTCTCAAAAAAAACGCCCCCCTAGAGGAATGATGCAACAAACCCTGATCACGCTGCTCATATATGAATAAATAAAAGAAGTAAAAAAAAAAAAATACCATCAGCTCCAGCTGACTGTATACTGTAGTGAAGTACTTAACATCCGTTCTGCAATGAAAAGACAACAACGCTTCAGGGATTCCACACAAACACCTTTTCGGTCTGTATTCAAAGAGGGAGAACTCGTTGCGCTTAAATTAGATCTCAGGGGGAACGTTTGAAGGTAACCAACTATACTCTTGGTTTCATAAACCTCTCTAGAACTTAGGTAAGGATAGACACCAGCTATTGGGAAAGTCCGATGAAAGGCCGGCGGTACTTTAATCAAGAGTACTGTACAGTACCGCAAATGATCCCCAACCGCAAATGACCCCGAGACCGCAAATGATCCCCAAAATGGACCGCAAATGATCGTCGACCGCAAGTGATCCCTTAACTCGACCGCAAATGATCCCGTGAAAACTTGAGGAATGGAATGGATTTTATGGGACTGATTACAAAAAAGGACTGATTATAAAAAAAAACCTTTTTCTCTCGCTTTTTAAAGAAAAAGGCAAGGAGGACGCTACATCTCAGGTCAATTTATACAAGGCGAAAAAAAAATTGAATAAATCTGAAAAGGTATGGTATTAACCGTATACTTCTCCCTTTGTCGATTGCTTCAATTTTTTTTTTCAAGAATGTTTCGTCTTTTGAAAAATTTAAGACAGGCAGGACGTTACGCAGAAAAAACTCAAGCTCAACTTTTCTACTGAGGAATACAAAGCCGGGCACCCTCTACATAACAAGAGCTTTATTGACTTTACTGATCTTTTTGAAAGCGTGAAATTAATCAGCCAGAATATTTAATTTTGATTTTTCTCTGAAATGTTAATTTTACGTGATAAACAGCAAGACATTTGTTCGTAACTTAGGTGCCCGTTACGGAACAAGGCATGATTTAACATAAACATAAGTCAAAATGCCCCCGAACTTATCAATGTCCACAGGTTTCGATTTATTTCGAAATAGCAACTTTCTTACAGCTCATGAACGTGTTGTGAATAGTTATATTGGCGCTAATATAAGCGGTAGTTATCGCGTGACAAAACATCGTAGGAAACCGTCACATTCACGTACTAAAAGAAAGTCGCTTACGATTATTCGGATCCAGGAGGCACTTTTGAGAAAATTAAACAACCTAAAACCCTTATTTAGCAGCAATGAAGAGCACTGCATTTCAAAAGAGGTCAAAGGAAATGCTCTTGCATCAAAGGGCAAATCATGCCGACCAGAAGCAACAATAACCAGGGGCACCCAACGACAATTTTCGGAAAATATCTGTTCGGAAGACGATTTGAGATCTAGAATTTTCGGAACATTTGTTGTAAAATTTCTTGCTTGCCTGCCTCTCCTAGGATTTTCGAACATCTAAAAAATGGCATGACTGCCTATTTTTGACCTATTTTTACCCTAAAATGGTCACCTTGAATTTTTGGGAGCCTTTTTTCTGACTGGAATTTTCGAAAAGGTAAGTTTTGATCCCTATAATTTTCGGATCACTAGACTTTCAGCTAGGAAATCCGAACAGATGAAAAATTTTTAGGGGATAAAAATATGCCTATATCTACCGTTTAAATACTAAAACACGTTTAACAATGCTATGTTTAAGTGGTTTTGACCTATATTCTCGTTGGGTGCTCCTGAATAACCGCAGAAAATGCGTGTCATGACCTCTCAGTATGAAATAAGCGGCTAAAATCACATTTGCTCAGTCAAAACGTTTTCTTCAGAGGTATAATCTACCTGCCAGAGCCGGAAAAAAGTCATTGGAACAAGCAGTATTTTAGCATGAGGTAAAAGTCGTGTTGCCTACTGACTTCGTTTTTACGCTTGAATGATTTTTTCATTCAGTTTTTAATCATATATTTACTTGAGAAGTAAAATTTAGCTTTTAATCTGACTTATTGTAATAATAATTAATCGACAGGATGATCCACTAACTTGAGTCCAAGTCATTCCTATTTTTCTTTCGGGATCATTTGCGGTCGACTTTGGGGATCACTTGCGGTCGAGGATCGTTTGAGGTCCATTTTGGGGATCATTTGCGGTCTCGGGATCATTTGCGGTTGGGGATCATTTGCGGTACTGTACAGCACCACAGCAAAGGATGAGCTAAATAAGGTCTTTAAAAAAAAATTCTCAGTGTCTGTAACAACTATGACCCACAAGGGGAGATGGCAGAAATCGGAGGGTATCCGGGATAGGAAGCGCAGCAATGGAGTCGAAAGGAAACAAAGAAAGGACCTCACAGTCAAATCTTCCCTAAAATCGCCTCAAGAAACAGAGAGAGATCAAATATTACTTATTTACCAGAATGGAAGAAAAAAAGTGTCCCAACGAAATTCGAACCCAAGACTTGCTGAGGGGAGCATTGGGATTTTCGGTTTTGCGGTTTTGGCTATTTTTTAGATCGGTTTTTCGGTTTTTGTTGCAAAAGACTTCGGTTTTTCGGTTTTGGTGGTCATTGCGGTTTGCGGATTTTTCGTTTTTTAGCATCTGGTTTTCGGTTTTCGTGAAAAATACTAGCGGTTTTTCGGTTTTGGTACCCGATGTGGTTTTTGGTTTTTCCTATTTTGTCCTATTTTGGGTTCCGGTTTCTGTTCGATTTGAGCAGCACTTTATCTCGAATAGCCGCGAAACGCCAAAGTTATTTAGAGGAATGCGTGACAAAATAAATGTCATGGTAGGGGATCAAGCGTCTCCCTTGACGCCCGGCGAGACTTTGACCTCGCAGACCAGGGCGACCATTTGGTCAGTTTGCGAGCTATGGCTTCCAACGTGCCTACCGCACCGGAACGAAACCGAAGAAGCAATTGTGGATTGTGTTGCGTTTTTTTACGACTGCTGTTTTGAGTATCTGTTTATTACCACATTAAACCTTAGAGCAAGTTCCTGCTGCCATGTAAACAATGTGTAAAACTGAAAAGGAACTAATTGTACCGGTTAGCTTCCTCAGTGTCGACTCAGCTCAGTGCAATCGCATGTTAGACAATCGAGTCTCCAAACTTTCAGGTGTTAGTTATCAAATGGAAATGTTCGATTAGAGATTTTCGATTGAAGTTTCCAGAGCTATAGCTTTTGGCGACTGCAAAATTGCAATTCTAAAGACGACTTGTGAGCAAATTCGCTAAGTTAACTAGGCTCAATAACTAGCTGCTTTTCGGAAATTGAGCCGCAAAGTCTGGGCTCGAGAGAGCGGCAGAAACAAAGCCTATGATTTAAGCAGACACAGAAAGATACGAAGGCTTCAGACAAAGTCCATGACATTCACAAATACTTTGGTGAAATTAGTGTTACTTTAGTTTGCTCTGTATACCCGACTTGTCACCATTGTATCGGTTTTTGACGGTTTTGTATGCGGTTTTCGGTTTTGGCCGAATTTTTTTGCGGTTTTGCGGTTTTGGATGATTTTTTTCTTTGTTTTGCGGTTTCTAATATACCCCAATGCCCCCCTCCTTGCTTTACTTGTGTATTTCTCAGTCGCTCTTTAATTGAGCCATGGAGACTTAGGAAAGCTTGGCCAGCAAATAACAGTCACGAGAGTACAGTTAGGGCGTGCCAATTTTGCTTTGTCAAAGCTTTAACTGAACTATCTACAGTACGTTTACTCACACTGCGAATATCTTTCTGTAGCAGGTCTTGGCTTGAAACATGTCAGTAACTAAAGCATCAGCTACCTCCACCATAGCGGATAACATGGCTTCCTCAGTCTACAGTACCAACAAAAACACCGCCATAATCAACGACGGAGTTTTTCAACGTCTGCTCGCAATTCTAACGCTAATATATACAAAGACTTGGCCACATTTAACTAAGTTTCCCTCTCTTTACCCTAGTTATTAGCATTAAAGGCTTTCTATATTATGTAACCAGGTCCCAGTTGTCCTGCTGCGCTCGGTCTGTACTGCTACGACCTTGGGCCAATATTCCCCAATACGGCCCTCGCGCTCACTTAGTAAGCGGCCGCGGATAACCTTTTTTTGGAGAACCAATCAAAAAGTACGTCTTAATATGGAATTAATGATACGCGCGACTGTAGCGCGAGTGCTTAGGAAAATCTTGTATCGCGAGGTACGAAAGAGAAGGAGGAGCTACAAAAGGTAATTACAGTTTTACTATTAAAATTCGACCAAAATCGGAATATTATTCCCAAAATGGCCAGGATTGACTTCCTCCGGACAAGACAAAATTGACTCATCAGGCTCCTTCAGGCCTAGGATAAATTTCAGACAATTACTTCGAGCCGTTTTTACTCCCTCAGTAACGTCTGAATAGACCGGTCGTTAATGCCGTCCAGTGATGATTTTTAGACAGGAATATCTTCATTTCTCTGATTCCATATTAGGGCAAAAAAAAATTCTGTGCTTTTGATTGGACGGCTAAAAAAACACAGCTTGGTTTTTAACATATAAGGGGATTTTATACGCTCCAGGATTATATGCTTCTGATGTAACTTACACCAGGTGACCAACGGCCGTATTCTATCTCTCTTAAGGAAACCTGCGGTCCTTTATCAGTTAAACACTGAATCACTGAGAGTAGAAAAGAGTCAAATGACAGGATGCACGTAGATGTACCTTGGTATGAGGCTCCTTCCAAGCAAACACCTTCTTGTACCAAGCAAGAGCAGATTCCTAGGACACACAAAAAAGTTATTTATACAAGAAGGTTAAAGGGCCAGGGCCCTCTTCAAATTTGACGAATGACCAAATCTAGGAAGAATATTAATTTTTTGGCATTTAAAGACGTGTAATAAAACTTATTGTTATATTCCTAGACTTTCACCCAACTCACAGGGACTGCCATTGGTTGATTCTTGGTCGTGTGGCTTTGGCTAAAATCAAATGTATCCCGATCGTGATACATTAAGCAATGTACCCCGCTCGGGATATTACAGCACGCGATCAAAGCATGGTGGAAAGTGGTGTGACAGAAGGCGGGAAAAACACTGCCAGTTTTCTTTTTCGTGAATGAACACAACAACTTGAACACAAACACGAAGTCTCAAGCTCAAAAGCAACGACTTTTAAAGTCATCCCACAGGGACCGCGGAGGGGGAGGGGCTGGTAGGGCCGAGGCCCCACCACTTTTTTGCGCCCCCGCCCCCACTTTTTGCGCTAAAAAGGAAAATAATTAAAATAAAAAAAAGACTTGAAACAAGTTTTTTCCGTCTATATTCCGCTATATTCTCTTTATTTTCTTTAATTTCAAACGCCAGGCATTTTGTGGGGCTCCTGTGCTTTTCGCGGTAATTGTGCTCTGGGGCCGACTTGCCCCTTGATCAAACGCCATGCCTTGGCCACCCCTTCGCTTCTTTCGGCAGCGTGTTTTGTACCTCCAGCTCCGGCAGAGTTTTTTATCAGTTTTATCAGACGAAATGAAGGAAATTACTAGCTTTTTCAAGTCAAACGAAGGTGAGTAGTTGTTTTAAGTTGATAAAAGTTTTATCTTTTGTCAGTTTCTCCTTTCGAATCAATGAAATATTCGATGGCAAGAAGAATTACATTACTTGAACAGTGAAGGGCCATAGTTAGAAATTTTTCAGATCACTTCAGTGTAGTATTTTCTATACTAAAATTGTAATCGCGTCTTTTCTTGCATTAAATCTGAACTGACCGTGTATGTTGGCCGACCTATAAAGAGCAACAAATACACTGGATAAAGTATGCAAAGTCACGCGACAGAAACAAATCAAATACTATGATTTTATTCCTTTTTTCGATTTTCAATATGAAAAAATTATTTTCAATTGTCAGCCCTGCCACTTTTCACCTTGCTCCGCGGTCCCTGTCCCAGAAGAGAAACAGCAGCTAGTGGAGGAAAAGACGCAGATAATATAAGGAAAGTACTTTGTAAATCATTCATTCAGTGGTTTTAAGAACTAAATTTGTGTTGTTAAAAGTACCGGGTCGACTGTTTTGGTTCGCTCCGGTTACTCTTTTGATGCTGTTGAAGTGAAAGTCTTGAAATAATTATGACAAAACACTTAATGTCGTGTCCCTCGGGAAACCAGTTAATTTTGTTTTCCCTCGAGTCGTGATGTTTCCCTCGACTTCATGTCTCGGGAAACATCAGGACTCTCGGGAAAACAAAACTAACTGTTTACCTCGGGATCTGACATTAAGTGTATAATAAAAGTAAATTGCAATTTGTTATCTTGGCGTTGTTACAACTGTAATAAAGAATTAATACAGCTAGTGTCTCCAGAAGCAACTGCATACCCAGGGGTCATTCTGCATTACCTCACAAGCTACAATCTTGGACAAAAAGTGTTGAGACTTTTGCAATTTGTTACCCACAGAACGCCTATCTCGCGGATTTGGCTATGGCCCCACCCTGGTCAAAGTTGTTTATTCGGGATCAAAAATGATCCAGCCGGACTTCAACATTGGGGTTATTTTTATTTATTTATTTATTTTTTTTTTTTGGGGTGGGGGGGAGTATTTGTAGCTGCCATTGTTTTCAAGAGCTTTTTCTTAAAATAAGACATGGTAACGTCCATTTTTCTCAATATTTTTGTCCAAGATGGTAGTTTTTTATACGTTATGGCGCATAACAAGCACAAATTGAACAAGTTCATTCTTGAAAGGTAATAAAAAAAATAGTTCTTTGACAAATAAAATCTCCGATATGTGGCGACAACACTTATCTCTGACTCACCTTAAGAAGATTGGATATTTGAACATTCAAAGGTTCTGCAACAACATCTTTGAAAATCTCAAGCTTGTAAAGATTCACTAAACACCTGATATAAACAAAATATAACGAGATTAGATTCATCAAAGAAGCTGCCCCTGTCTAAGCTCGTAATTTGCAAATGAATCACGATTTTGAGGGTAGTAGAGAAACAGTGCTCAAACTTGATTTAGCTCATTTCTTCAATGGGAGTCGTAGTTGTGGAAATCACAAGTAAAAAAAAAAAATTGCGAGCGAAGTACCACTGGGTGTACTAGCATCCTCTCTTTGGAATAAGCAGTCAAAAGTTATGGATTAATATATGGTTGGCGGTTAACTTACTCCAGAAGGTTGATCAATCGTCCAAGTTTTCCTTTATCAGTGGCAGGGAATACCTCTCGATATTTCATCATCAACCTCCAACAGTTATCTGTAAACTGCTTAAGGGACTTGACTAGCGAACACTCCTGGAACAAAAAAAGACACGATATGAAAAGGATGAAGTGGGCTGGACACGCTGTCACACATGTTTTCTTTGATTAGTGATTATTCTCTAATAATAATCGCGGTTGCATACTAGCGGCGACCCGACGCTGGGTGTAGGGGATCGGAAAGCCCCACCTCCCCCAGTTATCTTAGACAAAAACTGAGGTAAGCGCGGCCAACCGTGGGAGAAGAGGCAAACGCGAAACAATTAAGTTTGTTTTCCGTGGGACTTACAGCTTGCTGTGCGCCCTTCACGCGGGACTTTTAACGCGTTGGTTGTTTTATTATAGGACTCATCTGACGAAGATAACATCTCACTAACTAACACGTCATTTATTTGCACATTTTTATGTTTCCATGGTTATGTCCCAGGGTAACTTGATCTTAAAAATAGTCTTATTTTTGGTCAGGTAAAAGGCCTCATCCCACAGAAAAAAGGCTCAGTGTAACTATACCTTTAATCTTCCTTCTAAGGGTATCACCTTACAAACACAGCATGCGGTTATTGCATACAAGTTCATATCTCTGTTGTCACTGAAAATCTTAAGAGAACTTGCATTATGGTTTTACCTCTCTCTGACTAAGCTCTCCGGTTTTCCATTTCTCGTGAATCTTAAGTAACATGTTGTTTAATGAGCTATACTTCATGGGTTCTATCCAGTGATGATGACTGAACAAACTCCAGTGTCTGTAGAACAAATCATGATAGTACAATTTAACCTTATATACATTATACAATGTATGGGTATTATATTTTAAAAACTGCGTTTCCTGTTTCCCTTTTTTAAAAAGAAGGCTCTTTCGCTCACATTGTAGGGTGACACTCTCTGTGCCACAATAAAAAGGTATCGACCGCGATTGTACGAAGACCGTAATAAGCTACCCACGATCTGTGCCACTCTTTGCCTCACATGGTCTCCTTGAGAAGGACCGCTGGTTTCCATATAATTTCTAACGATAAACGGCGGGCTGCGACAGCCGGTCGAAAGCTGTCTCATCGGACGTTTTCAGACGATCTCTGACAGCACGGACAACTGTTTAGCACAATTTAAGTTCTCGCAGACATGCCATGTTTGTTTAAAGAGATTCTGGGTCCAAATGGCGCAGAGCACATTTCTGCGGCGTGAAGCAGGCCTGTAACCGGCTGTTCAAGTTGTCAAGGAGACTAAATGTTAAACAACGCTTAGGACAATTGTCCGCACCTGAAGGTAGTTTTAGGAACGTTATCAGTAGCTAACCACTACTCTTACTAAGATAGCTAGAGTCACTGTAGAGTGATTGGTTTCTCTAGAGCATGCATACATGTAGATAATTATTCCTTACTCCTGGACTATGACTCCCGAGAAAACTGAAACGTCCAGTACCAGACAGATGGCCAAAACAAAACTAATAGCAAACTTACAGAAATTTTAGGTAATGACTGACTACAGTGGCAAAAATTGAACTCACATGCATGCCTGCTGGAGTTCTGTGAGTTCGTTTTGAAGAGCATGCTGATGAAGAATGAATTCTGCTTGGGGACACAGCTGATCGTAACTTCTTTTATTGCTCGGTTCCTAAAGAGTGAAAACAGCACCTCAAGTTTGGATTGCTCGAAATTTTTTGATGGGACTCTCAACCCTCCCGTCAGTTATGCATACATGTTATGCTTAAAAAGTTACGAAAGAAGACAACGTAGTGTTTTTATTTTTCACGACAGCCTCTCACCTGATGTTCAGAGCCGTAATTGATAAATTCTCTCAAAAGAGCACCATATATATCTATGGCTGTTGGATAAAGATGTTTTATCTCATCCGGTATGTCAGGTCTCTGCAAACAATAACGTAGAAAAATGATTGGTTAACCTTTTTCTCAAGTAACAAATTTCATGGACCACCTTGATCTGAATTAGTGTGCAAATATTCCGGGCATTCTGGTCACGTGCGAAACATACAACTCAGGGGTTTGCGCGGAGGTAAAACCTGAGGATTAGAGGGACAGAATTAATAGATTTGCTGAGGGACCAGTCATTAAATGATTCACCATATGGCACGGCCAAGACATGTGAAGTCAGAAGATCCAAAAAGAGAAAGACGGTTGTCGGTCAACATTCACAGGTGACAAACAATTTGTTAACCATAACGACACAGATTTGCAATCTCTGGCTTAAACCCCTCCCTTTTTTCGGGAAACAGCTATTTCATTTGACCTCGAAGTAGCCAACGAGAGGACTTCTTATTTGAAAAATATTCCAGCCACATTATAAAAAATCTTTATCAGCAGTGATGCTCGAATACCTACAATATCAAGATTTGTAACGCTAGGTTGGTTACCTTTCCAGTTGTCAGCGTGATTTTTAAGTGGCAGTCACCATCTACATGCGACTTGGACGAACGTCCTTCAAGTTTAAACCATTTGTCAATGCCACTCGATGGTATATTCTGGGAGACCAACCACACATAAACACATATGAAAAACAAAAACAACAACAGCTTAATATGCAGTACGTAAACTGGAAAGCAAGATTTTTTGGATCAAATTATATGTTAAGAGAATGTGAGATTTAACTTCTTCGAAATGATTGTACCCAGGAACTGTTATAGCCTTCTTCAGACCGGTTATAGCCTTTTTCAGTCGGCCCAAAACAGGAGGTACTTTCCTCGACTGCTAGCTTACTCCTAAAAATTTCTCACACACTGGAAACTGGGAGCCATGCCGAGCCGACCATGCAACCAATGGCTAACGCGTATACGATGTGGATGAGTACGTAGAGGTTTTGCTGGGAAAAGTCAAATACCAGTACTATTCTTATTGGAAAGCCTTTGAAACTAAGAACTATTTAATATTTCCCAAATAGTAATATTAATTGATATTTTCCCACACAGTTTTCATATCGTATCCTTGGAGTTTACCAAAATCTTGGCAGCATTAACCAAGGGCTTCCCGCTAATTTGAACGGAACAGTTACAAGTTTGCCCCTCTACAACCTTCTTCAGTCTGATCTATCGATCTATAAGCTGCTTATTACCTTGATTGGTATTTCAATAAATCCGAGAAAATCATCAATATTGCCATCCTGAACACAAGTTGATTTTCTTGCAGACTGCATCACATCTTTAAAAAACCTGGCAACAAAAACGAACCAAGAACGTCAAAATACCCTCCACATTTCAGCACAAAATAATTTCAGCGCTTTTAAAATACAGGTCTGACAAGGGATCTATTATAACAGAGCTTATAGAGAGTCAATAGTAAAGTTTTTTTCACACTTATATAACAACGTTCGTTTATCGTGCTGAACACCTTTGTCTTCTCGGCTCATCGACATACGACCAAGCTTGTTACGTTGGTAAAAGTATTATTGTTGATCTGAGTTCTAAATGACAGGTCTTAATGCGAATAAAAGATTTCAGGCATTTTGCCTGTTGTTACCGTACCTTCCCATTCCGGAGAAACCTTTAATTTTTGTGATTTTGTTATCTTCCTCCTTCAGCACATCTTTGTCGTCACAATCCCTTAAAACAGTGAAAGCAACATAGACTCCTTTACCCGTGGTATCAAATAATGTATAACATGTGCTAATAAAGTCAAATCAAGTTAAACGCTAAAAATACATAACCAGCAGTTTAAACTCTACACAGATCTCTGGTTATAATATAATCCTAAAATATTATCAGACAATATTCAACGCAACTTACCATATGTCAAGATGAAATTTTTCTTTATAAGAATTGGTAACTTTCCTATTGAAAAAAAAAATACAGATAGACTAAAACACAAGCATATAAAGCAAAACACAAACCAAAGGGCAAGAATATGGTTTCGGTACAGCTCGGTTCGGAACGGCTTAGGCCATTTACACCTGAATCGTCTGTGACCGCCCTTGTAGATCTTTGTCCCTTATACCACCTATGACGTCATCACTTCAAACGGCCATAGACAACCTTGACACTTACAACTGTAACATCTGACTACTTCAATGGAACCAAACCCACTACTCAAAATGGTATCTACTATTTATGGTCTCCGTCCTCAATTATGGCCCTTGATTTTAGAGTAATAATAAAATGCTGTTTCCTTCTATCGAAATCAGCGGCTATATGCCACACAAGCAAAATGTTTCGTTTGAGTACTGAAATCTTACGCTGTTACGGCTTCATGTAAACTGTCGAAACTACTTGCAGCAGTCCGAGCAACGATCGGAGTAGTCTTTCCGAAAGGTTTATTTTATCCAGATATCAGGGAGTCCGAGTTCTAAACCAATCCACCTAGTAAGACTGTTCATAGTCCATTATTTTCCTGTAAAATCGTGGAGAACAAACACCCGCGGGTATAGCCACTTTGGTTTGACTCTAGCCTCGTCAAGCCTAGGGATCAAATCTACTTATAATTAGGGGCGGGGGTGGTTCCGATACCAACATGGCCGCCCGTAACATAAAGAGCTCGATCTAGACGATCTTACTGAAAACTAGCTACTATGAATAACTTCAATCAAAAATGTAAACATTACAAATCTCAAACCGCTAGATCCAAACCCCAAATGACCGGCGGGTGATTTTAGAGAAGTTTGAGAGAACCTGCAAAAAAAAGGCGAACGGGAAAAAAGGACCGACCATGTGACCTTGCTTTTCCCGCCTTTTTTTTTTTTCGCATTTGCCGGTTGCTGTTTGCAGTCCTTGAGGAAGGCTGTCTTTTTTTTTCGTTCGTAAATGAAGCTGGGTGAGTGTCCTCTGTTTTGCCGTTTTTAGTGTGTTGAAAACGATTCTTCCACGCAAAAAGTTTCAAAAAGCTTAAGCTTAACAAAAGTCCTCAAGCCCTCTACGGTATGATTAGAATATATTCCGCGTTATACTATGTGAAATCATAGCTTGTCCCCTGTACTAACTACAGTGGTGAAATATGGAGCCCGTAAATTCCGTGAGAGTCGAAATATGTGTGCATTCCGCTTAGTATTTGGGAGAACTACCGTCTTTGTCTAAATTGCGATCACCTCGGTCGTGAAAAATTCAGCTGCAAACTGCCATATAATTAACTTGCTTCTATATATCAAAGAATTGCATGATAATGATGAAGATGATGACTTGGAAATTCGAAAGACAAAACAGATTGACATCAACTTAGTTCACGGATTTTGAAAAGTGGCCAAGCCTAGATCTAATAATGTTACTTCTCTGGATAAAACAACTCTGCTCACATTGTGAATGCCTCATTCCAGACCGGGTTCAAAGTATTTTCTTTTACGCTTGTCACGTGGATTGAATCTTCATCAAGAACATCTCTGACTGTCATAGATTTCTTGCGGTGCACTTTGATTTTTTTCATCTTTTCTTCAATTTCATCTGACATTAATCCTAACATACAGTAGGGATCACTCAAACCTGCCAATATTAAAATTTGTTTGTCAATTTATAAATAAACAGTAACATTAAAAGTAAAACCAATTATAATAATTAAAGAGTAATAATTAAATACTTATAATAATAAAAATAATACTATACTACTACAGCTATACTGCTGCTGCTGTCACTACTACTACATTGTAATAATAATAATAATAATAATGGTAAAAACAATGAACAACAACAACAACAATCAATCAATCAATCAATCTTTATCAGTGCTCCGGGTTGCATGTCAGTGAGGAACACATGGTAGGGTGTTAACTTGAGAATGCAACAAAGGAATTGTAAATTACATGTTATTTTGGTATAAAAACTGTTTATTAAAACTGAAGAAACTGTCACAAGCTAATTACAGAAAATATATTTCTGATGAATATATTTTGCATAAAAATTTATGCATTTAAATTACATGTACAGTACAGTGTACAGCTGTATCAGTTTACGGGGAACACTAGATCATGTAGTAATTACATTGGTGATAAACAAATAAAAAATAATAATAATAATAATAATAATAATAATAATAATAATAATAATAATAATAATTATAATGATACCGTTTGCATCCTTTGCCTCCAAATTTCTGGCCTCCACAACTAAATCACAACAAAATGGATGTTGGCTCACAATTAGAACATTAGTTAATTGGTCTTACTATCTTGAAAGAATTTTCTCACACACCACTGGTAGCCATGCCAAGCTCACCACGGCAGCCTGACATGTATTCCAAATTCCTAAAAATGTACACATAACAATATACCCCTAGAAAGGCGAGACACTATTAACAAAATTACAAAGTTGCACATTACATTTAAACAGCCTACAAAACTGAATCTTAGGGCGGGTGGGTGGGTGGGAAGGTCAGTAATGGCGGATGCAACAAAGGCAACTGCCCACCTTTTGGTCACATGACCTATGCCCAGGCAACCAACAATAGTGTGTGAGAAAAACATAATTTTCCACTTATTTTGTTAAACTCAGCCAGTGGAAAATTACCCATATTTTACTAAAAAAGCAACCCTTCCCCCAACCTAAAAAATACAAAAACTAAACTAAAGCAGGGAAGAATGACACAAATATAATGCCAAGCAGTGCATTATATTATACACTGTATCTCTCATTTTAGCACAAAGAAATGCATTTCCTCCAAGTAATTATTTTAGAAACTGGAATCAACTGCAGTGTATTAATGAAATTGAGAAATATACTTCAACTAAAAACTAACTACAAACAAAGTTCTGGGTCTAAGCCTAAAGCATTGACATTGCAGTGAATGAGGGGCAAAAATTCTTATTTATAAAATAATAAAAATTTTCAAACAATCACCTTCTACTTTTATCACACAAGTTGGAGGCTAAAAATCAAAACAAAAAGGAGTACAAAACAAAACAACAACAAATGAAAAAAACAAGGAAAGTGTTAGAAAGCTCAGGCATGCAGACGACGCACAACATGCCAGATGCAATTACTTGGAAAATGGAAAACAGCTAAAGCCCAGCTAAGGTTGTGACCTTACAACAACAGACATTAAAATCAAAATAAGGCTTTAGCTTGCTTAAGTTTTCATGTAAGTGGTGAATCATGTTTACAAATAATTATTACATGTATTTGGTTAAATAAAACTGAAGACGTAGAAAAATTCATTAAAAGAAGTTTGTTTGACACACTCTGAGGTTTAAAAATGAAGGTCACTGGATGTGGGATGTAAAAAAGTCATATATTTCGATATGTGTAAGGTAAGGTAAGGTAAGGTAATGCCTTTATTTAAAGAGGGTAAACACGTGACAGTTAGGAAAAAACTGATAAACTTGTGGCCCTCTGTAAATTTTTCTGACACTGTAAACCTAACCAAATAACATTGAACATTAAGCCGCCAATAGTAATAACCTGGTAATACGTATATTATCATTTTTTTTACAGATGAATTAAGTGATTAATTCAGGACAGGATTTCTGCATCTGAAATTGACTGAACAGAGTACAAAAAGCTGGGGAAAACACAGGTAGGAAATGATACACACTTCTCTTTCCTTCGTCTTGGCATAGAGATTCCTGTGTTTCTCCTCAGAAATCTTGAGAGACTGTTAAAGAAACAATTTTGACACTTCCTTAACCACCAATAATTAAATTACAATGTTATATAACTGGTAATGATTTAATACTGAATGCATCTAACACGAAACTTGAAGAAAACTACTTATCCAGTTTGTCTACTTTTAAGGGCTTTGAATTACCTCATTATGTTATTTTTTTATTTATGCTATAACATCCCAATCCCCCACTGTCCTGACCATTGCCAGAGAGAGGAATGGGGGAGACACTACCTTCAAAACACCTTCACCTTAATCCTCTTTGTGCGTTGTGGCACATACCCTGTATAGGGTGGCACAGTCAGGTACTTTGCAGTAAGTAAGAGATGGGGGAATGTTAATCAACACACTAATGGCTAAGATATCTCCCTTAAATTAGCATTCAGAATATTTTATAAGATGAGCATTCATTTGTGCCCTAGTGTACTCTTCTCATCTCAGTTAATAAACTGGTTACTTCATGGGCTTTCTTATTATTACCATTAATAATTATGCATCCAAACGTGTCAAGACTGCAGTCCTCTTGCAAAGACCAGTGGCCCAGCCCTCAGGTGCCTTGCTTTTACTATTGGGCAACTACAAAATCCTATATTTTTCATAAAGTTCAGCTTAAGGCACCCTGGATCTCAGAAAGTTAGTAGCACTGTACTGGGCTCCCTTCAAGTTTTCTTAGAAAACACCCTTTCTTATGCGTGGATCTATGCATCATTATGCACATTATAGAGCAGAGTTCTCAATCTTATAATATATTTTAATAACAACACCAAACATTAGTAGATCCAGAGTACTGTACATACCTCCTGAGCATACACATATAAATTGCCAGCAGAGAGGTTCTCAGGTGTCTTGTTCTGTGCTCCCAACTGATGAATAACAGTATAAAGCAGCTCGCAGTACAATGCCTCACGCTGTCACAAAATCAATTTAAAATGAAACACTTCTGATCATTTATAGAAACACTTTGAAAGATAGTATAAAGTAAAGTCTAAAACTTTCCACACTTAAAAGTGTGCATGTACCTACATGTATGAAATCTACTCACTACACTTAAGTGTGTGACTAATGGATATAAGAATTTAAAAACTTAAGCAAGTCTGCTTTCAAGTTAAATGCAGTACAAGGAAACCACAATTTGTTGAAAACTTCAGTTTGTATTGTTTAAAATATTACTCAGAGATTAGGGTCTGCTAAAAAAAAATATAGAAACATGCAAACCTTATTAATTGAGAGAATTTGATAAGAGATCAATGCATTTTGCCTCTGGTGATCATTTTATTAATTCTCATAACCTATTGCCTTGATGATGTATAGATACTGTTAAGAGAAAATTGATGTTGGTCACTCTTGCTGGCACTTAAAAGGTTTTTACTGTTGGATGATTTAAACATATACGAGAGGCTCTTGCATGGTTGAAACATTGTCCAGCAAATTTCACAACCATCCTTTTAATTATCTTAAATTCACTTAGGTATGTTAATTATTGTGATTACAAAAATAATTTATTCTTGTTTTTTGGCCAGTGTGTATGGAGATCAAAGCTCAATTCTCTACTCTTATTATCACAGTCCTCCAAATGCCCCAAAACATCCAGTGACCGATAATGACCTACAGTGTAAAGTTACTGGAGCACCCACAAATGCATCTGTAAATTAATTCCCAGCACCACCCAATAAAATAATAATGACAATTTAAGACAGCTTAAGAGCTAATGCCACAAGAATCCAGCTAGTAAAATTAAAGAATGAAACGTTTCATGTATTTCTTCAATGTACCTGTTTGTCAGTTAACGTTGCTTCAGCAGCCACTGAAGACAACACTTCAGCATCACATCCCTCATCTTCCACCGCAGGACTTAAGTTTTCAGCATTGACAACTTCCTATGGAAAAACATTATTGTCCCGTGAAGATGAAACACTATTGGAAATGCCATGTATTAAAGTGTTTTTGTCACTAAACTATGGGACTTTATGGGATTTAATTCGTTAGTGAATACGATACTATAAAATGAGTTGATATAGGTGACTTCTATTTGGGTACAGAAGATTCATGCAACCATTCCCACATTATCTAACATGACCACCACCCAGCTCTCAAATTTTTACTCTTTAAAATTTCCTTAAGATTAAGACCCATAATAGCTGGGTTCTTCTCTATGACTGTAGTTAAATGGTTTGACTGGAGATTTTATTAGGCTGCAGCTAACTAAAATTTCACAACAACTGTTGTTACCTTACCTCATTTCGGCAATCAGTCTCATGCTTTTCATTTTGGGCTAGTGAATTAAACTTCTCAAAGTAATTTCCATCAAAGTTCTGAGCTCTATAGTCAAAAATTATAGAATTAATGTCAGATCTTATTTACTCAGACATTTTGATTAAGTACATGCATGACAAGCCTCTAATTATGAAGATATTGTATAGATATAAGAGTACAAAGAAAGTCACTTTTAGAGCTTGCCATTCAGGCAAGCTGAAGGTAGCATAATACTAGCCCAAACGCCCTTTCAACTAGCCCCAAAAACATTTTGGTGAGCAGAAATGATTTCACAGTTCTTCGGTAATTTGAATTCCTCAAAAAACTTCACTTGCCTGTCGGGCAAGTTAAGAACAGAATTCACTCGCCTGATAGCAAAATCCACTAGTCCCAAGGCTGCTCTCGAACACTACTTTCTTTGCACACTGGATATAAATTATTCCCCCAGTGATGTGCCCAGAATTCTCAAAGGCACTTACACTACATTTTGCAATTTTGTTTTTGCTTGGAACAGGTCAAGAGTGTTACAAGACGTAGCAGTACAGAACAGGCAAAACATTTTATTTTAAAGGGAATACTGGTACCACTCCCTTGAGTAAATTTTAAGAGTATACTTGAGTGAGAAGTTTTAGAAAATAAGGGATCAATTTTCCTATGTTTCTTAGTAACATTTCGCCGTAGATAAGTAGTAATGAGTGTTAATGTTAGCTTAAGGGAACCTTGGGTAAGTGCATGGAGGTAACGTACACTGTACTTTTGGACCTAAATTTGAAAACCAAAATACTTCAGTAACCTGAAAACCACTTTCATTTTTTATGAAAACAGAAAATCCAAAAACATACTGAAAATTTCAAGGGGCAAAAACTGAAAAACTGCTCAAAAAGAAAATGGAAATGAAACCAAGATTAACACCCTTGAGATTTCTTTTTTACCAAAACTTCAATGTAACTATATATGCTCACCAAAGAAAACAATGAAAATTTCCATTGGGGGCACTAAAACTAAAGCTGCAAATTTCTGGAGCAAAAACAATCTTAAAATGCTTTAAATTTATAGCAAAACCAAAAACCCTTATGCCCACTTTGCTCAAAATATCAATGATCACTAATAATCAGCCTTAACTATCATGAACGTGCTCAGTGTACTAGCAGGCTGCATGACAGAGTGGTTTACTACTAACAGAACAAAAACTACATATCAACTAATTTAATCTTACTAAAAAGATGTAAAAAAAATGTAAATATTCCTGATAATGACATCAGTAGAGTGTATATATCAGTATGACAGGTTCAAGTAAGATATGTAGTCATTAGAGCAATGTACCCTTGGATAATCCTGGGTGTATGTGAGTCTGAGCTATTTGATACTCTGTTTACCATATGCAACATCAAAGGACGATAAGATCGATGACTGACATGATTTTTTTTGTGACAATCTTACTCAGAATAAACAAAAAACAAACGGAACATTAATTCACAGAGTGGAGCTAAATTATGTTAATTATAACCCTCCTAAAGAAACAATCATTTTACAAATTCAAACATTCAAGATCATAGATTTCCAACTTTGCAACTTGATTCAATTAGGACAAAGGAAAAAAGGAAAAACTATTCGAAGATTCAGGTGATCATTTAACATGAAATTTCATAATGTCAATTAAAGCTTACTTGGAAAGCAGCTACTTTTACACCGGCACTTATTTTATTCAAAGAGGAAAATATTGAAAAAGTTAACTCTTCCCAGGAGTCTATAAATATACAATTAAAACTTAGTAATAATACGGACTTAACACGTATGCACTTTTCTCAAATAAAAATATATGTCTTCCCAACTAATCTAAAAACAGGTCTTGATTTCAAAGCCTCGGAAATCGACAAACCATTGACAACACGAATGTCACTCTTATATGATATGTACACAGCTTGAAAACCGTAGAAATTAAGGAACATTTCCCTTTCGAACAACAAACGAAATTTACACCTTGAGAAAGAGTACTATGTTTCAACTGATGCACAATTTGAGCACAGAAACATGCTATAATCTTGCGTTACATAGGCAGTTGTTTCTTACCGTCCAAACGGTGTTCTCCCTTCCAAGTAAGAAGCACGACTTTCAGCCGATAGCTTTTGGCAAAGGCCTAGTTTTCGTGATTTACGAAGACGCTCTCGTTTTTGTTCCGTTTCGCCTGAGCCCTCAGGATCCGATGACATTTTTTAAGTCCCAAGTGCCTGCAAAGAGGCTTTTATAGTAGCTTTAAAACATCCTAAGCTTCACAGATCTGATCAGGGTAACTTTTGTCACTTTTTGAATATTCTTGTTTGACTCATTTGCATATTGCAATGAAGCGGAGAAGGTGATTAACTGAATTACTCCAAGAGTTGCGATGGAGATCGGTGCAAGCTAATAACCTTATAATGGATACAGCTGTTCTATCTGACAACGTCATTTAAGATACTAACTACAGAGAAACACAATACTGTATAAATACTTTTAGTCCATTCCCACAAGAGAAATTTATCCACACTTCAAAGCTTGCCTATCAGTTCACAGCTGATCGTCACGTGTGGAACAGTTGAGCGTGAATTTAGCGCTGAAGACAACCACGACTAACTCCAACATTTAGAAAAATGCCTGAGCTGATTTAATGAAAATAAAGATCTCCCACAAAAGCACAAAATAAAGTGAAAATACTGACCTTTGGCTACTGGCAAAGTCGGTTACATCAGAAGACAACTCACTTGCAACATTTGTTGCTCCATGCTGATTTCTTTCGCGTTTCCTTCCGAATTTCAAAAGGGCAGCCATTATCACTCCACGCTTTCCAATGAACAGCAGATTAGAAAATCATTGAGACCCATTCCCTTTGAGCAAACGGAGCAAAAAAGAGAAACTCAAGGATTCTTGCCGAGATGTTTCCTACAAAAGAGCATCTTCGACAAGTCCCTGTCTGCTAATCTGCGTGACAAGGTATTCACGTTTTGTCACGCTTCTACACTAACCCCATCGGGCATTGAACAGACAGCTCCTGTTTCTTTTCCCTTCGGCTTTCAGAAACAAACGTTAATTTGGCCTGTGCTGAATTACTGTTTCTTTCTTGCCAAAAAGCTGTATTTGAGATTTTTATCTAAGAATTACAAACCCTGCATCAGGCTAATACTCAGACATGATATTTTATCGACAGGAAAAAGAAGACCTGGATATTGCGCCGACATTTCGATTTGCCGACTAAATATTAGGAAATAAATTTTGATAGATAGATTGACAGATAGTTTATAACAATAAATACATGGGCAGCCAAAGGCTGAATTGCGTATTTACAAATAAAACTAAGCTAAAAAACATAGCATAATTTACAATAAATTAATATTAAAAATATTAAAAATTCAGGCAAATAATTTATAAAAGCATTGAAACCGAATATGTCAATCATTTAATTGTACTTTAGGCACGATGACAAGATAAAAGTGTTCTTAAAACGGTCCGTCTTGCACTTTGGAAGTGCAAAGTGTCAGTGATTTCTTAGTAAATATGGAGCCTTATTGGCTTCAGTTATCAGCTTGTTTAAACAAAAAAAAAAAGTCTTTCGTTTCATTTAATTTTTTTTGCCTTATTCAGTCTCAGTCAGTCTTCCCGTAAGGAACAAAAGAAGCCTTGTAGAACTAAAACCAACACATGTTTTCGGGATGGGAAAATGATCAATGATTGGCAGGGTACTTAGAACGGCTTACTCGCCCATTTTTACTGTACTGATCTAATCTTTTACTCTCTCCAGTTGATATGGAAAGGCTAATGGATCCTCTCTCACAAGGAATAATTTAATCCCTTTAAAAACTTTTATGCATAAGAATTTCAACGGGATGGTACGGTTATAGTGTGAATGTTTTTCTTTGCAGACCCTTCTGTAGTCTGCGAAAACATCCGTTTCTATTTATTCTCCTCGCTCTTGGATGTTTTCGCAGGCTAATTCTTCTGAGGCGCTATCAATCTCTCTCTAAGAGGTTTCATCCAGTTTTCCTCCCTTCATAATTCCTTCTTCCTGTAAAGTTTTTCTTTCTCTCTTACTTGATGGAGACCAGGGGCGTAGCCAGGATTTTTTCAGAGGTACGCAAAACTCTCCAAATAGCTTTGCCCGCTCCCCCCCTCAAAAAAAACTTCCTTGATTAAAGATTTGGTTACGTTCTAAGCCTAAGCGTTTTTTCTACACATGAAATGACATTAGCAACTAGCTTGTATTATACTTCTAGTGTCGCGTGTTTGGATCCATCATACAAAGAGTTAAAGGCCACACACTTTTTCGGATTCGTAGGGCATCCAGATAATTTTGTTACTGGGTTCGTTTTGTCGTTTTTAAGCAGATGCAGCGCATGAATCCGATTTGGTCAAGTCTCTATAGATTTTGAATCCGAAATCTAAAGTGAATCCGATGCAATGTTTTGTAGTGTAAACAATTTGTCCAACAAATTCGGATACTTTTCCGTATTTCATCATACGAGCTTGCAGTAAAACCAAAATGGAACTGTCACTTTCAAGAATATAGGGCACCTTCGCAACGACGACGGCGAGGCCAACGAAAACGTCCCTAGCTGTCAAAATGAATGCGCCTTTTTTGTTTAACTTTTTGGCTCTTATTTCAACTCTCTTAAATTGGCAAATCTAGGTGATCTTCCCTACCGAGTCTTGGGGACCGCACCCAAGTTCGGACTCAGAGAAGAAATTGAATTTTTCGATGTGTGTTTACGTCCTCCAAACAACGTCGCAAAAGGAAATTTAGCGTCGTGTTCATACAGGTTGTAAAGAAAAGCGTGCTGCACGTGCCAAATTTTAATTTTTTAATTCACTTATAGGACTCGTTTCCTATGACGTTCTCGTTGCTGTTGCTGTCGCCTTTGCCGCCGCTGCCGTCGTCCGTTCGTCTTTGCTCCTAGGATTTATCGATGTGCGTAAACGGTTAGAAATCCGAACACGTTTTTGGTAAAAACGCATGCCATCTTTTCACTAGATATATATGTCATTCAAGATTCGGTCCATTAGTGAATTACTTCGTTTCCCTGCACTGGAAACCGGCATTTGGGTAGACAGGAAAAAGAAGTCAGTTGTTTGAGAAAATACTTCAAAGAAAAAAGCAGAGTTGAATGCACTGAGGGAAAACTGTGCTCTTAAAATAATTGCCTTTAGATATTTCGCTTTCTTTGTAGAATTACCGTTTTTTTTTTTGCTATTAATTCATTCTAAATCTTTTTTGTGCACGACTTTTTCAGGTACGCACGTGCGTACCCAGGTAGCTACTCCCGCGGTGACCTATCACCACTCGTTTGCAATTGTTTTGCCATATAGAGTGTTTTCACTCACGTGGCCAGCACCTACGCAAATTTATTACAACAAAAGAAAGCGTTTGCATAAGAAAAGAGTTCAACTCCCACAGGATTGGTTTGGGACACCAACATGGCCGCCATTTCATTGTTTTGGGACACCAATATGGCCGCCGTGACGTCATGTGAAAACACTAGAAGACTAGAAGACGCATTATCCGTCCAGGGCCCAGTTATTCGAACGCCGGTTAGCACTAACCCGGGGTTAAATTTTAATCCGGCTTCCTTTTTCTTGTTATCAAAAGCACTCTCTCGGATAATTTTCTCTATTCTTTTTAGAGTATCCAATCATCAAGTTGTAGGCAAAGAGAATTAAACTGAATTTGAATTTTAAGCTCTAATATCTGAGTTCAAAGTTCGCACTAACCCTGAGTTATCTTAACCCAGCTTCGAACAACCCGGCCCAGAAGGATAATGCGTCAATTGTCTACTAAAGCAAACTATTGGATCTGATAAAGTTGATGTTGATTTTGCACACTTTTGGGCTTTTGGCGAGTGGGAACAGTGTCCTCCCAGTCTAAAAAACAGGACTATCAGGGCTCGATCTGCTATAACGAAGTTACACAGTCCTATATACTAGCTCGAAGGAGTTCTTGGCTTGTCCTAATGCTGGCACACTAGCGTACACTTTCTACCTTTATTCCACTCGTTCATTATAAAACGTCAAATGAACTAGACATGGGATTCCCCAGCCTGGTTGCACCTCTACCCCTTTCTTCTGAGCCTCTGAGGGGATTGCATAGGCGTGATTACCAAAAGGACGGACTCAGGAGAGCCGAGGAAATGGAGTCTAAGGTCAGGAGTTTCTCGATTCCAACGTCAACGCATAGCAAATGTCATTTTCTTTGGAGGACATCTCGTTTCCGGGATCCATGAGTAATATGAGTAGGAGAGGACTCTGGGAACGAGGTTGGTTAATTGAAACAGACGGAAGATAAACATATAGAACGGCAAACTGATCCTGGCGGCAAGGCGCCAATAAACAAGTAAACAGACTAAGAAAACAAAAAATATATTTCAACGAATTTGTTTTCTTCGTTTGTTTACTAATTCATCGCCTTGCCGTCAGGATCAGTTTGCCTTAAGGTTTTATATTTTATACTACTAGGTGGTTATTGTACTGATCCAGGTCTACAAATGTGAGAACCGGCACCACTAAACGGTTTGTGGCTGTGGACTTGCTGCTACTTAATATTTTGGAAGATATAATATCGTGTTTTTGAACCAAAGTCAAGTTGTATTAATGAGAGGCAAAGTTGTACTATAGTGATGGCTAACTTGCTATGGGATTACCATTGGGTTACGGGATAAAGATTTTCTTCCAACCGAAACCATAATTCCCGCAAAGATATAGGATGAACACTCGAAAAAAAATGTTTTTCCTGAAAAGCAAGAAAATTTAGCTCTGTTCTGATAAATAGAGGAAACGAGTATTTTTAACCAAAAAAACCTGGTTGCCACCGGCAATGTAAACAAGAAATAACAGGTGACCAAATGGACCACACCTTGCTGTTTATCGCTAAATTTATCTCGCTCTTCTAGGGATAACTTTCCTTTAAGAAGATGATGAAATCATTAAAATGCCACTGCTTTTGGCATTGCACACTATAAAACCATCATCTTCAGAAAATGGAGTTATCTTTTCAGAGTTTGTTGCAAACACTCTTAAACTGCACACAGAGTACACACATACATTATCTTTATTGGTGACGCCATCGATGTTTTTTGTTTGCCGGGCCTTGTCTATGCATAATAATGCCCTTAAAGTTCCTGTTTTATTAAAATCATCAGTACTTAAAAACTGAATATCACGACGCAGAGCTTAGCTCAAGGAAATTTGATTTTAGGAGTAGAAATTCTCAACGTAATTTTGGCTTGGGCTTGGAGTTGTCGATATTTCAAATGATCACCACGAACGAGAGCCAGTCATTTTACCGCAATTTGCTTATCCTGAATGGTGGCCACATTATGAGTCGGGGCTCTGGGCAAATCGCCGTATGAATAATTGTAATGAGCATTACCAGAGCTGACTGAATATGGATAAACAGTTCCCTCATGTCTACTCAGACTTTCCATTCCGCGATGAAGAACAAACACTCTATGATTATGGATACAGAGTGTTGTGTACAGTACTGATCGGTTCAGGGGCAATTTGCGTCGATATTATTATATATTTTGCCCTCGTGCTGCTAAAAAAGCTCATTCGGAAGCACTTAATAACCGAAGAAATGCACTTTGTCATTGACTTGTTGTTCGGCTTGATAAATTTAAGTGTCACGGCTTGGCTTGCATATTTCGTGGATGAACGTTTACGAATTTTCTGGATGAAAAGGAAATACGGCTTGAACACTTCATTCAGTGTAATCTCATGATTTGCCAAGGAGAAGAATTAACTTATGTTGGCAAAACTCAGTTCAATTTCAACTGGAGATTCTCTTTACTTGTCGTCACTGACAAAAGAAAATATTCACCCAGGGCTGTATTCATTTTTCTGTTAATTGTGTAAAGAATAATGCAAGCATATGTCCTGTTAGTTGTGATAAAAAGAGGACAAGCATTATTAAGTTTTTGTAATCATAATTTAAGATTACCAACACGATCATGGCTAATTTTTATGCCGGCGGGGCAGCTGGATTTTTTTACCACTTTGTTGCGGTAAAACTTTGGGAAATAAAACATTTAACACCATAACAACTCCTTTCAAGAGGAAGTGCCGAAGTAAAAAAAAAAAAGAGACGATCTATTGATAAGAGAGTGGTAAACGTAGTGTAAGAATTCACATCTCTTTACATGTAAACATTTACACGAAAGGAAAACAGAATCTGAATTTAAAATTAGCTTAAACTCGTGCCTGTGTTTTTTATCCCCATCAAAACGCCGCATCCTTCTTCTCGCACCGAACCAAAAAAAAAACATGATAAAAATAAACAAGTAAAGCGGTTGTTTTATCCGCAGAAAACCTTGTCATCGAGCAAACCCAAAGAGCTATGGTATGTGATTCATCGCATTCTTCATCCTAACCCTGAGCCCCTGAAAGTGGACCCAGATCTGTTGAACAACCCCTTCACTTCCACCTCACAACGCTCGCTAGGATCAACACCAAACTCTCCACATGCTTTACAAGAACTGATCAACTCACTCTCTGATAGTTCCACAAGCTCATTCGACCTTGTCACCTATTTTTAAGTGCTGAAACAGCTTTAAAACATGAGATCTGATTGTTCTGCTGGAGCTGACGAAATACCCGCTAAGTATCTAAAGATGGCTACCGACTACATTGCCTCTCCGCTGACACAAATTATTAATAGGTTCATTTCAAATAATATCTTCCCCGCCGCTTGGAAAATGGCAAGAGTGTCTCTAATACCTAAAGTCGATTCCCCAATCAATGCTTAATAATACAGACTCATTGCTATTCTTCACGCACTTTCTAAGGTCTATGAGCGACTTGTCCTCAATCAAATATTGGAATTTATCGAACAAAATCACATATTTAATGAAAGTATCACAGGATATCGCAAAGGACAGGAGTAATGATTAATGGTGGAGTCACTCTAAATGCTTTTGTCGATTTCTCCAAAGCGTTTGACACCGTGAATATTCAGTGGTTCTAAGGAAACTATATGCCATTGGGTTTGCCAGTAACTCGTTAAAATGTGTACACAGCTACTTAACATCTCGGAAGCAATTTGTTCGAGTCAGCGACAAAAAGTCTAATTTAGTGGACGTGCCATTTGGCGTTCCCAAGGCTCTATATAAGGACCCCTTTACTTCAACCTGTATGTCAACGACCTACAAAGGGACTTAAACTGCTCATGTTTCCAGTGTGCTGATGATACGACTCCATATGACCACCGCAGCCCTAGGAATCTCATTGCTTGCGAAAATGAGATGAACGGTAACACACATTTTCTGGAAGAGTGGGCCAAAGACTCCAATCCTCAATTAAATAAAAATAAAACCAAGCAGATGCTTATAACTTGTAACGTTATTCCATCACTAACAGTAAAGGGACAGACCTTAGAAAGAGTCAGGACTTTCAAACTGTTAGGTACCTGGCTCAATGAAAACCTTAAATGGACTGACCACGTAAAAGGAACTTGTTTCATCATGTGATAAAGTTCTTTCAATTCTTACTACGTAAAATACGAAACATGCATGGCTCCACGGCAAGTAAAAAAGCAATTTGCGGAAAGTCTCATCATTTTTGCGGAAAGTCTCATCATTTTTAAACTGGACTATAACAGAATTGCTTGTTACCCTTTGCCGGCATACTTACAAAAGAAAGTTCAACGGGTTCGTAATGCGGTTGCAAGCTTTGTGAGGAACTGCTACTCCACCGAGCAAGACGTCCTAAATCTAGGTTGGCTTCCACCCTTGAAAGGACGGAACTGTACCTCCTCTAATTTGCTCACCGTGCGATACATATGAATACCTGGCCCGAATATTTGCCTCTGCCATTACTATACACGGCCATAAAAGGAACCTACGAACAAGTGAGACACTACAGATAGCTATCCCTATGGAGAAACATACCTTTCAGGACTCAGCAGCTAAACCTTTTAACAGCCTACCCGTAAACTTAGGATCATGTAATGACTTTCATCGTTTTCATCAATTAGTTACTAATGTTTTTGAAGAAAGGGCAGGGCTCAGACTGGCAGAAATGTAATTGTTTTTTGCTTGTAAATAGATTTTTACATAATATATAAAATTATAATTTCTTGCTTTTAATGCTTTTTTCTTGAAAATGTTTTTTTTTGTAATTTTTCACATAATATGTATAATTATATTTTCTTAGTTTGTAAATTCACAGATGTATAGCTACCATGTAGAGAAACTGTGAATAAACCGTTAATATAATTATGATAATAATACATAGTCTTGCTAGCTGGAAAGTGCCTGGCATGGGCGTGAATCTGTAGGAATGGGTGGGGTAACAATGGCAAGCAAGGAATAACTGAATGCTTTATAAAATACCTGTAAGTGTCGAGTACAAGAAACCACACACAAGAAATAATGATCTTTATTCCTGTAGCATTATACAGTGAATCAAACGTTGAGAAAAAAAAAATGCAATATGTAATAAGACTTTTTTCGAAATCAGTTGAATTTCTATGAATCCGCGGAGGTTAGCAGTTACAAATTGCAGAGAATGTAAAGAAACAAGTATTCATTGCCTTAAAAAAGGAATCTGGCTCAAATTGTATGATTACATCATTCGTTTGACAAAATGACAACTAGTATCCAAGAAATTTATCTATCCAAACTAACAAAAAAAGAATCTGTTAGTGAATTTTTGAAGCCTGATCACAGTAACTACCACAGATTAGATACAGTCCGTGAGGTAAAGTCTCACTGTCAACCGTGTTCGCGAATTTAATTCAAATTAACTGTTGAATTAGTACGTACATTCATTTATAAGAATAATCTAAAATGGTTACGAGCAGCAGACATTCAGTTTAAAAGAAAGTAGTATTTTTTAACCGGTCTAATTTTTCTTCCTGGTAAATATTATGTCACTTAATTTCTTCTTAAAAAACGAAATGCCTACCTGTTCTAAAAGAGCAGACTAATAAAGACTATACTGAGAAGTGACGCTACCTCGCGAAATGTCATCTTAATTGGGCCTTGCTGATCTCGGCTCACAAATGCTATTGCAGAGTCTCCTTTGTCAGTATCTTACAACGGAAATACTAACGGAGATCCACTGCCAACATGAACACACATGGACCGTGCATGAAAACTGTGGAAAATCAAAATAATAGTCCATATATAAAAAAAATAGCACTTAAAAATACTCTAAAGAAAGAGGGTGGGGGGACAGTTTTGCCGGCCTATCCCAAAGCATCAAAAAGCGGACACAAGATCTTTTTCTCTTATCGAAATAGTCCAATATGTGTAAGGTGGGCAGCGTGATTCGGGTCCATCCAACAAACAGTTGCATGGCAAAGGTTCTGACCATAATGGAAGAGATTCACCAGAATCTCAGTTCTAAGTGGGGCGAGAGAGAGAGAGAGAGAGAGAACAAACCATTTGAAAGAATCCATGACTTAGTACAATAGTGCATACAAAAATGGGAAGTTGCTATACATCAGGCATCTGATCTCTTTGATTGTCAGCTTCAACTTGATTATTAGGTGTGTGTACGCTTCTCCTTTTAAAACGTCCGCGATGCCACCTTGCTTGTCGCTGAAGCCTGGACACAAGTCTGATGGCAAGACGCGTGTGCTGCACAGATTTAATGGCGGTCTGTACATTACGCAGCCTGTGCGATACATCGTTTTCTGGAAAAAAGTCGTCAATGTCCTCTTCCGGTGGTTTGTAGTACAAAACAAATATACGATAAACCTGAAGCATTACAACAAGGGCGTTCTTGACTGTTAGAAAGTACAACGTGTCGTGGTAAATTTGATAATAGGCGATCACAATTAAGCGAATTATAAGGAATGGCCCGTCCTGCATTAGCATAGGTATAAGCAGGCTAATAAGCTCTGTATAGTCTTGCATTTTGATAGCTAACTCATTAACAGCCTTGTTAAACTTGTACCAGCACCGAGGGCATCTTCCAAGCGGAACATGTTTGTCAATAGTTTCTTCCTCGTCTGTACTTGTAACTGACGTCATTTCCGGTTTGATTTCCAAACCAAATTTGGTCTGAATATATCTGACGCGTATTTCTTCCCGTTCAGTGCCCGCTTTATTATTGCCCTTTTTGACGGTGTACAAAGCTGGTGAGGGCGCAACTTGATTTCTCCTCCATCGTGTATCTTTTTCTTCTTTGATTTTTCTGAGCTGTTCTTCCAGCTGAGCCTTCTCCTTCTCTAGTCTCTGCGCAGTTCTTTCCATGGCGTAAACCGTCAGTGGGAACTGGAAGAGACTGACGCTCCAAAATAGAATCACAGCGTTTACAAAGTGAGTATTCTGAAGCATTTTGGGGTTTGTTCTCCTGATCTCATCTTCCTTGATGATCTCCGTGAACTCCATGATGTCGGCTGCTGTACCTATGTAGATGAGTAGCAACTGCGACAGTTGATCACGTGTAATGCCTCCTTTTGGAAGAAGCCACCTTCCAATCACCAGAATCAGTACCAGAGCCTGCTCCATAGTGTACAACAACCTTTCATCATCGGTGATTTGAATTCCTTTCAAAAACTAAAACACAAGAGAAATTAGATTTTACAGACAGCTCTTTACAGCTGTAACAAAAGGCATGAATCATCTTTGATTATGGCATAACTCACTAGAAGCACAGTAAAATTATCGAGCCAGTGGGTAACCAGAGATCAGGCTCTGTTTTCTTTACGTTTGGTAAATATGAGCTGCTAAAATTGGGCCTGATCTTCAGGTTAGCCAACGGGAAACTTGTGAATAGTCTCATCTCATGGTTCAATTTCCACCCCACACATTGCATTTACGTTTTTGAACACTGTCACTCTCCTCTCCTTCAGATCATTCTCAGCCGCACGTCAGCATTGACATCTATGCAACGCCTCATGCGTACTATTCCAGATGCTCCTTCACTGGGTTTTGTGTTCTACTAAACCGGTATTCACTAAACATTTTAGTGTATCTCTGTAGTGGTCAGTTTTGGAAGGACATTGTGTTAGAGTAAAGAGACAAGCTTTCTTACTTGATATATTGTAGCTGAATCATTCACAGCTCGGAGGCAGGCTGAGTTGTCCGCGTCACTACTGGATGCAACACAGTCAAGCACCTGCACCTTTGCTATCCAGTCACAGGGTATCATGGTTATCAAGTATAAGAACATACTTGGACAGAACCTGCATGAAGTAAACAGGGCTCTCGGATCAATCACATTAATATAACAAAGCTTTTCTTGCAAAATGTTCAAGATATCAGACGTCAATTATATTTTAAAATAGAACTGCAATGTTACATGTTGTATGCATGTTATTCCTAACTTGCCCATACAAATCACGTAAATCACCCTTTGTGCAAACGTAAACCATCTTAAGTTCCCCTCTCTTCCCTCCAGCCTCACGGCCTGTATTGCTACCGTTTATTAGAAATGGTGTTTCAGAGGTATGTAGAGAATATCAAGCAATAATCGTTTGATGAAGTAATAGGCTCTTTGCATGACTTGATCACCTGATCAACTTTCGGTAAACACGAAAACAGTTCACTTTTGAAAGATTTTGTTCGCACGAGCTGAAAGAGCATATTAAAATTAGCTAACCTGAGAATTTTCAGCCGTATATCTCCAAAGGAAACGATTGCAACGGCCGCCGAAAGTTGGAAGCATTTGTATGAGAAAAACAACTTTTGTCATCCAGTCACGCTTGCATGGTTTTCCATACAAATCCTTGTAATTTCGAAATTTTCAAAACTTTCATGAAATATTTCCTTAAGCATTACAGGGCTCAAATCTCCTTTTACTTCATAAAGGCAATTTGAGCCCTTAGTGCGTAAAGGAAAGATTTAACGACAGTATAAAATTTTACAATTTACAAGGATTTGTATGGAAAACCATGTAAGCGGTACTGGGTGGCAAAAGTTGTTTTTCTCATACAAATCCTTCTAATTTTCGGTGGCCGTTGCAATCACCACTTTTGAGATTCACGGCTGAGATGAATACTTGTTAGAATAAGATCAAAGCTTGAGTGGAATTACGGACAATTTTCGGAGCAGTTCCCCTTTAAGTGTACTTATGGCCATTGGTTCTTAAAAGATATTTATTCTTGCCTTGGGCAATAAGTGATATTTTACAATGGAAAAACAAAAAGGATGTCAAACTTTTTTATATTTATCGCATGTTACCTGGCGCATATAAAACTCGGGCAGTTGTGGTTGTATCATGGGCGGCATGTTTTTTTTTTCTTTTTTTTGCAAGAAAGGGAAAACAAATCACCTCATCTTGGAAAAAAATGACCAATACTACACTGTCAAGGCAATATTTATCGAGTGGCCAGTGGAGCTTTTCCAGCAAATTTGGTTGATTCATGCATAAGAGCAATAATTGACTGCGGTAAGAACATTAGAGAGTGAAGAGTAAGAAACTATTTTCTTTATTAAAGCGAATAAAAGGTTGCCAAGAGACATTGCTTCGACTGCTACATTGCTTACTTCAATAGTAAATTGAAAATAATGGACTTTTCTGAAAACGGTCTTCAGGAAATAAGTGGATTTTGGAATTTTTAATTTCGAGATCTTCATTCAAAATACAGCACCTGCTCTGAACGTATTACACAGAAAAAAAGTGACATTTCGGTTGGGCACCTCAGAGCGGAAATATTTGCATAAAACAATGCAAATTGGGAAAGGAGTTATAAACTTTCAGTGGCTTGAAGATTTGGCTTTCAAAACGCTATCAAGAGCCATCTATCTAGCAAACGCGCTTAAAATTGTTGGCGACCACATATTTTCAGATAGTGCCGCTTTCATTCTGTCTTCCCTTCTTCCTTCCTTTCAACTTTTTCACCTGTTTCTGTTATCGGGACAATTAATTCAACACAGACACAAATTTACAGGATGAAATATAATATTAAGTGTTTCCCTCACATTGCTTCGTTTATGTTAACAACATTGACTTTTAAAATAAATATTTTTTTTCAGTGAGTGACTTTGCAGAACGCAAGTGGTAAAAATATTTTAAGACAACCCATACTCAGGTACTAAATCGGAACTGAAGGAAAATCGATTATACACGAAAAAGGTTATAAGTTCTTTGAGTTTGTTCAAAGAGGGTTTTCGTTGCCAAGCTCCAGAAAAATCGAATTCAATTAAACAGAAAGTAGGTGGTATTCAGGAAATGTTTACATAAGACTCTTATGGATGAAAGCGATCGAGACAAGTTCGAATAAAAACTTCAAGTTGTCTGCAAACTTCCTGCGACCCTTTTTCGCTGGATATTTTTTTCTTTGGAGAACGATGTTTCATGGGGTTTCTCAATATAAGAAAGACAATCAGGTCAGACATTCTACCCGCTGGCTCAATAAGTATATTGCAATGCTTCGTTTTATTCAAAAAGTTCTCCTTGATCTTCTTAATGAAAAGCAAACGGAACGCAGTATGTTTGAGTTAGAAGAAGAAGAAATTTTGCACGTCACCTTAAATGAACCCTGGATCGTTTGCCCAACAGCCACTGGTAATCGAGCTAGAAGATCTCGTATTTTTAACCCTATTCAATCAACTTTCCCATATTGTACAGACTCACTTGTACGAGGAGGAAATAATTTCAATGTAGAGTAGATAACGAAAAGTTTTGTTTCGAACCTTTCCTGAATTTTTTTAGCTATAATAACTGTTATTTTCTTGTGTTTTTTTCTTGCTGTAATTATCAGTTATAACATGCTGGACATCTTTTGAATTATAAGGACAAAATATCCTGTCGTGTTTAAAATATTAACACGGCATGCGGGGACCGCGCTGAAACTTAATATTTCACCAGAAATGGTATTATTTATCGTCTGATACCGGCGGAGCATTGTTATACTTACCAGCTGTATTCATGTCCCTTGCGTACTCCAACAGTAAATATTGTTTCCACGAGTAGAGCGACAAGAAGAAGCAGGAAAAGAAAGTACGTTTCGTCTTGCTTTAAAGTCACCAACCAGTAAATCATCACAATTGCATGCAATGAAAATAGTAGACGTGTAAACAAGGCTGCAATGTACGTGAAAATTCTCTCCATAACCAACGATCAAAGGTTTCGGTGTCCAGTTAATACTCGGCGAAAGTTACAAAAGTGATCCGGCAGCAATTTGCCTTAGTTCAGTTCTGAGTGATACGCCAACCGCTGTATAAATTCACCGGCACAATACACTAATGCAGCTTGTTTCTTGGCTACCAAAGATTTCACCTTTGTCACTACAGGGGTTTGTTATAACTCCACTCCTCAATAGATGGTAGTCGAATATTAATAGGGTAATGTCAACGTTGATTAGGAGAATCTACATTCGATCTGACAGTAAAACGTCGCGTCAGCAGAGGTCTTTAACAGTCCTAACAGTTTATTTTCCTCTTTTCAGTGGTTTCAATAAGATACCTCGAGGACAAACTCTTAAAGTTCCAGAGTTTGTTGCCAAAGATACAATTTTCTGTTGGCTAAGGCGAATTAACCATAGTGACTAAGATAAGAAAGGAAGAGAGGACCTCCAATTTTAAGAATACTGTATGTAAGATACATGTCGTAACCTATTTTCTTTCGTAAAAACGAGTGCAACAATGAATGAAACTTCTCCTATCATCAAAGTGCCACAACCGACTTTCGGCTTTTCATGGCTTTTCAGTGTTAAGGCAACATCAGGGTTAATACCAGTGTAAACAGAAACAAAATGGTAAACCCAACTCAACGGTCTATTTATCCCACTTGCATCTCTAAACACCATCCATCCAATAACAAACGATTCTTGTCTCTGTTTACATTTTGTAAACCATGTGCAGTAGGTTCCATCAAATAACTCTGTTGATTGTCTTAAAAATCTATTGTCCGTATAGTAATGCGTAAACTTTGAAAGCGCCAAAGGGTCAGTTTTTAAGTCTCCAAAGGTTTCTGGACGCGAAGTTCACAAAGTAACCGCTTAATCACACCCGTCCGTTAATCAGTTTTGAATCTGCCTTTCATACGTTTTTTTAGAAGTTTTTGGAAAATAGCAGCTCATAGTACGTAAGAAATATAGATCTTTTTGATGATATAATTATATGGAAATTTGGAGGCCAGTGTAACTAAGCACACTGTAAAAGGTCTGTAAAACAAAAGCACTTACAAAACGAAGCGTAGGAGCTTTAAAACAAAAAAATCCCATGAAGTTTGACATGAGAACGGTACAATTCGAAATAAATATAACGTTTACAACCTCGAAAAAAATGCCAGTATAAATAACGGCGAGGTATGCGGGAGGTAACAGATTAGTTTAGAGCCACTGATTACGGCGGGAGTTTTGAAGACTGAAAGTTTTTGCCAAAAATAAAAGCTAGGGAAAATTTTCTAAAGGTTGTAAACGACATTCGTGAGCCTTTCACAGTTAGTGTGTGCAGATAACATGAATTTTTTTCAGATTCAAGGTAAATAAAACCAGAGTATTAAATACACAAAAAATATCAACCTTTAATAAAGCACCGGGAGGATGTTTTGTTCGACGTAAAGACTAGAATCATGGCAATTTCTAGACTTGCAGTTTTTCTTACTTATTATTTTGAGCGACAAAACGCAACTAAAACGGACTATCAGAAAGTCTACAGAGTCAATTTCGGGTTTCGACAATAGAGGGAGGGCCATGTAAAAGAGTAATACAAACTACATTAACCATGCACCTTCACTTGCACTTATCTCGTAGTCGGATGAACGTTTAGGCGCCACTAACCTAGCAACCGTTACCCTCCATTTGACGTTGTTTCAAGCCTCTTAGGGCGTGGCAAAACCTCAACCCCGTCCAACCAGAGATGTTCTTCTCCCAGCACTACTTTTATCTTCCTCTTATTTACCCCCTTGCACTGTTCCTTGCTAGGTTGTCAGGGCAACTTGAACTTACATGTACGTGTCTTTACCGTGGTTAAAGTCTGTAAAGTGTCATCATAGGACCCCATGGCCTGCCTGATTCTGTCTCTGACTACCTCCTTGGTGATGTGTTCTTTGTATGAGATACCAAGCAGATTCCTAAAGCATCTCATCTCTGTAGCCTGCGATTTCTTCTGGACATCCACTGTCAATTTCCAGGGTTCACAGGCATGCAATACAAGAGTACCGAGGCAAGCAGGTAACGCACCACCTTTGAGCTAAGGGAGATATTCTTGTCGTTCCAGATGGTCCGCTTCAGTTTCGACGGTGCCGCTGTCGTCAGTGCCATTCTCGATAGTGCTTCAGGCTTGGAATCTTGATCTCTGACTAGTGCGCCCAGATACTTAAAAGTGTCAACTTCGTCCAGTTTTTCGCCGCTGACCCTGATTTCAACGCTGATGCCATCTGTGTTGTTAGTCATCAGTTTGGTCTTCTTTGCGGTACTTCCATGCCAAAGGCAGTACAGGTCTTTGTCCAGGCGATCCATCAGAGAAGCTAGTTCCTCCTCGTTTCCCGCCAAGTCATCAATGTCATCGGCAATTGTTCTGTGATTGTTCTGTCTCCGATGCTGACTGTTCCTTTGTGATCTTCCAGTGCGTCATTCATAATTCTCTTCAGAAGCATGTTAAAGAGAGTCGGTGAGAGCAGACGACCTTGTGTGTCTGACTCCGACCGTCGTTTTTTATTATGCCGCGATTGAGGTAGACTGTACTGGTGGCCTGTAGAAGTTCCCTATGACTCGGATCAGGTTGGCCGCAATGTTGTAAAGCCTCATAGTAGAATTTCACAAATCCATCCATTTTTAAAAATGCCATGTCCATTCTCTTTGTAAATAAGGTGGTCAAAAACATAAATGCAGATAAGTTGCACAAGACTGTCTTGTGCGCGATGCAGAGGAAAACCAGCAATTTTTCCACGTAAACTGCACTGGTTGACTTGTCACGTAGAAGTTCTCTACAACTCGGATCACGTTGGATTTAATGTTGGAAAGCCTCATAGTAGAACTTCACAACTTGACTCCATCAAACGTCGTCTAACAATCACCAAAGACGTTATAGAAGCCTTTTTTTATGTTTGAGGTACCTCTCACACACTATCTGAGGTTGAAGATCTGTTCTGCTATTGTTATTACGGCATCTTCTCCTGCTTGCACCAGCTCCCTCGGGATATTGTCTATTCCTGGAGATTTCTCCTTCTCTAGCGATTTCACAGCTGTTTCGACCCCTTTCCGCAAGATTGGGTATTTATGACTTTTAGTTCCTGGTGGGACATTCAGAACCTCTGGGTCATCTTGAACTATGTGACTGTACAGTTTTGCGTCAGTTTTGCGCAGTATTCTGTCTAACCTTTTTCGCACGTGTGGTGCTTCAGAGGCAATTCCCGTTTTTGTCCTGTATGGTGTTGGTTTATCCTTGTATTGTGTTAGTTAAAACTTTTACTAGCTGACACGCTTTCTTACTGTTATAAACAATGTCACCATCTTGAGACTCTACGACAATCCAAGACTCCTCTTGATTTCCTGCTCTGTACTTTTTTGCCTCTTCCTCTGTCTCATGTCTGCTATTCTTCAGTTCTTTTCGTTCGACACATACACTCGATATGTCATCTGTGACCCACGGTTTTTTGACTGCTCGGCATTTGCCAAATATCTTGCTAGCTGATACAGTCATTACTGTATTGAAGGTTTTTATTAGTGTGTCCACTTCTGTGTCACCTACATCGAGCATGGTAAGCAATGCAAATCTTCCAATCATTGCTTGAAAGGCTACTGGTACATCAGGGTCTTTGAGATTTTATCTTCTTCGAACGGAGCTGCAAGGTCATCAGTACTAAATCGATGTGACCCCTGGGAAGATGCGGTCTTAGCTGTGTTCACACTGGTTTGAAAGCGCCTCCTAACCATAATGTAATCAATATGGTTATGGCCTTAGACCTCTTTCGTTTTTTCCAGTTCTTAAAAGCGTCCTCTTATACTTTGGCATTCCAATCGCCTAAACCACAACAAGGATGTCTTTCTCACTTGGGAGAACTGATCCAAGACTTCCGGCAGGTGGTCCTAGAAGTCCTTAACTGCATCATGATAGGCCTGCTTGAGACTGGATGGTAGCCCATGACAGTGGTCAAAATGCTTTTGTGAACAAGAAATCCAACACTCTGTTCGTGTTTGTCCTCCTCCTTGCCTCTAAAGCATTATTTATGACTCTCCTAAGTGGACGTTTCACCAAAGTTCTTCAACCTCGCAGTCCTACGATGTTTTAGTGGTACCTACTCATCTCATATGTTAGTTCTTCCTTTTTTCCTGCCATTCGCAAGGTTCTCACGTTCCAGGTGCCAATAAAGATGTTATTTTTTGAGCCGCATACTTCCCAACTCCGCTCAGGTGCGCAGCGGCAGGTGCGGTCCTTATTACGCCGGGCGATGACCGATCCTGTATGGGCTGAGAAATGGCTGTCATTTCGTATGGCGTGTCATGGGCAATATGAGCCTGGTGGAACCTGTCCCTCTCCAGGTGGCCAGACCTGGTTTGGATGCGGAGTTTTCCTTCTTCTAGAAGAACCCTGTAAGCAGAGGTTTCTTTCTGGCATGGCTTTTAGCATTTTCAAAGTCGTTCCCGTCGCTTGTCGCGCAGTAGGTCAACTTCGCGACTGACAAGCGACGAGAACGACTTCGTAAATGCTAATAGCGATGCCAGAAAGAAACCCCTGTTCGCAGGGTATCTAGAAGGGATTCCGGCCAAGGAGAAAGAGCCCCATCTGTCCGGATCTGATATACCGCAGGTAACTCGGCCCCTCAAGTGAACTTAGCCTGTAGCTGGCGAGGCTCACTACAGTTACCGCCTTCAAGGTGGACTTCCCACAGCCTCGAAACCACCGTAAGGAGTTGCTAGCATAAACCGGTGCTTTAAGCTTGGCCTAAGGGAGCTTACAATTACTCAACGACGCAGTTTTCGTACGCTTAGATTTTCCGCGCGATTCAAGTTCGTATTGATCGCCTCTTTGCCTCAGAAGTTACTTGGACGCTTTGAACAAAATTGAGAGACAACTTTCAAATCCGGCCAACTTTTACTGCCACTGATTTTTAAACAGTTTCTGATTATGTACAATTTAAACTTTTAAGAAGTAATAAATCTGTTTAAGTTGTACATTATGACTAGGTATCTAGCGTTTAACACAAATGCATTAGAAAAGCAAAAATGTACTTTTAATGAACTTAGAATGGAATAATAGCT